TATTTTTTTATCTATTTGAGGTGGACATGGATGATGCATTAATCATGAATTCTCGAAACACCATGATTCATGTGCATTTCAATGGTTCAAAATTTTATTAGTCTTTCTATACAATTGAAAGTGTTGTAAACAAATTAAATATTAAAGAAAAAATTATATATAATCATCACATAGATAAAACATATTTAGAATTATTGTGTAATTTTTTGTACTAGGGAAACAATAGATTTAAAGAGATTTGTAACAAATTTATTAAAATGGATATGATTGAATATAAAAAATAGAATAATAATTTTTTTAGTATAATAATTAAAATATAAATAAATTAAATAAAAATAATAATTATGATATAATTAAATATAAAAATATTAATAAAATAATTTATTAAATTATTAGAATATTTTTAATTAAAATTTAATAAAAATAAAAATAAATTATTTTATAAAAAATAATTAATTTTGAAGAAATTAATTTAAAAAATAAATAAATTATATAAAATAAATTTTAAAATATTTATTAAAAATCATGAATAAAAATTTATTTTAAGTATAAATTAAAAAAATTAAAATATAATTATAAATTTATAATAAAAAATAAAATCAATAACATTATTAAAAAATATTATTTTAATTTCATTATAATAAAAAATTATAAAATCACATATAATTATAATATTATATATTATTAATATTTTTTTTATATAATTGATTGAGTTTTGTATAATCTTATTTGATTATATAAGTTTAATTAAAGTGTTTTTCAAAAATTTATGGTGGAGATATTTTATTCATAACATAATTTAATTATAATAAAAATATAATTAATTGACACATGAGTTTATTTATATATATATATATATATATATATATATATATTATTTAATTTAAATTAATTAATTTATATTATATATAAAATTTTGAGATATGTTAAAATTATTTTATGTATAAAATATTTGTAAAAATATTTAAAATGTATTGATTTATTACTTAATATAGTGAGGATTTGTCCTCATGCAGACAGGAATCTCTGCAAGTTCATTACGAACACTAAATTTTTTTTCTCTGCGTTTCATTTCATTCTAATAAATAAAACATTTTTTTTTCTTTCTATATTTCTTCTCGTATCAACGGAAAGTAAACAATATCTCATCTCCTCAAATTTACTCCTTAATTTTTTAATTTTTACATGAATAGTACATCACTTAATCCAAACACAAGCTAAATAATATTTTAAAAAAATTATAATGATTATGATGTAATAAAAAAGTAAAACTAAAATTAATAAAATATTTAAGAAAAATAAATCTACATTATTCATTTTTTATTAAAAATATGCTAACACTTAACTTAATAATTTAGATGTATACTTAAATGCTGCATGTTAAAATAATGGGTTTGATAAATATTAGCATTTGATGAATAGATTTTTTTTTTTACTATTGTTATTCGATGATTATTTAACATCAAGTTATATTAATATAATAATAAATATTATTATTATTATTATATTGCTTGATAATTATGTCCGACTGTGACAACAAACATAAATAAATACTAATATTCTATTAATAATTATTATTATTATTATATTAATATGTTTGATTATATGAGAATATAAGGTTTAGTAAATAGGTTGGAATGAGCTCTGTTTAAAAAAAAAACTTAAATTAGTCAATGGAGAAGGGTCTTATAACTCAAAAAAAATTTGCAGTCCCTCTAGAAGAGAAAAAGGAAAAAAAAAAAATCTTGCTTATTGATTCCTTAGTAAAAATTAGAATTATAATTCTTACTTCGTTTACACAGTTGAATTAAACTAGAATTTTGACAGTAAAATTTTTCGTATTGATTGTTGGGATCGTCAATTGAAGATTTGTGATTGGAGATTTCAGTCTCACATTATGACTGAATTAAGTTTTTTTTTTCCTTCAAATTTGAGAGCATTATTACTTTAATATATTGACTGCTTGTAGATACTTATTTTTATATTTTGATTTGACTCTCTTGTATTCATATTTTGATCTTAGTGGAGCTTGATGGATTGCTTGTGCCCGTGGGTTTTGAAGGGTTTTCCCACGCTAAAAATATTGGTGTTGTGATTATTCTTATTATTTTTTGTTGTTTCTCACAGATTTTTGCAAGTTTAGGAAATTTATTTTTGCTACATGCTTTGACATGCTTTGGTATTTTTTGTGGTTATGTTGGTTTTTCCAATATTTACTTGCTTGATTAATGGAGGCAAATATAAATATGGTTGCTTTAAATGGTATCAATTATCATTTGTGGAAAGACAAGATGAAAGATTTGTTATTTGTGAAAAAATTGCATCTTTCAGTCTTTATTACACAAAAAATTGGATTCTATGTCTAATAAAGAATGAGACTTTGAGCACCAACAAGTGTGTGGTTTTATTCGACAATATGTAGAAGACAATGTTTATAATCATATTACTAGTGAGACATATACTATAACTTTGTGGGAGAAAACTGAATCCTTGTATGCTTCTAAGTCAGACAATAATAAATTATATTTGTTGAATTGTTTGATGAATTTGAGGTATAAGGAGAGTTCTTCTATTTTAGATTACTTAAATGAGTTTCAAGGGGTCCTAGATCAACTGTCATGAATGAGTATAAATTTTGATGATCAAGTTTTAGGACTATGACTACTGAATACTCTACTAGAGTCTTTGGAGATATTTCGGGTTGCAATTATAAACTTAGTCCCTAATGACATTATTTCTTTACAAATGACAAATAGGAGTGTTTTTAATGAAGAGATGAGAAGGAAGACATATGATTCTTCATCTCAGTTTGAGGTGTTTGTCATTGAAAATAGGGGGAGAAGTAAAAAAAAAATGAATTGAAGGGTGGTAGACACAAGAGAAGCAAGTATAAGACAAAATATAAGAATATGAAGTGTTATTATTATAATAAACTTGAACATATCCAAAGATATTGTTTTAAGTGGAAAAAGGATAACAAAGGCAAGAAAGGTAAGGAGAAAGAGAATGATCATAATGATGATCGTGTTACTATTACATGTGATGACTTTATTCTTCTTTGTGATTACAAGTCTATTAATCTTGCATCTGATGAGAGCGTGTGGATAATTGATAGTGGTCCTACACTACGCGTTACATCGAGGAAGAAGTTTTTCACATCTTACACTTTTGGTGATTTTGGAGTGTTGAAAATAGGTAATGATGGTGTAATAGAAGTTGTTAGTGTTGGTGATGTTTGCTTGCAAACCCAGATGAGAGTGCAATTATTACTTAGAAGAGTCAAACATGCTCCAGATGTGTATTTTAATTTGATATTTATGTATTTGTTTGATGATTATGGTTATGACAATCATTTTGGTTATGACAATCATAAATAAAATTATGATTCCGTTTTGTTAACGGTTGAATAAGATTGAAATTTTGACATCAGATTTGCGGCATAAGTTTCTTTTATTTTTTTTCTAAAAATTTGAGAAGAATATTGTTTTGATATATTGATTGTTTGTAGACAATTATTTATGTATTTTTATTTGACTTCTACTCATATTTTGATATTAGTGGAGCTTGATCGACTGACTTGTTTGTAGTTGTAAGTTTTTATTGTTATTCCTTATATATTCTTTTGCAAAGTTTAGGAAAATTGTTTTCACTGTATATTTTGATACATTTGGTTGTTATTTTTGTTTTTACATACCAAAACATTGTATTTTTCCTGCATCCTTTAACGGTTTGAAGAGAATAATATTAATTTTGTTTAACTTTATATGTTAGGGACTTGGAATACAATAACAAACTAGGTTAAAACCAATTCATAATTGAAAAGTCAAAAGATTTATTGTTTGTTTGTATATTTCATGTTTTGCTTTTATTTTAAGTTTTTAAAATTAAGATTGAACCTCGCATTTAATAGATTGATATTAATTTGTAACATTAATAGTAGTGTAGTGCTTTAATTTAAAAATGATTATGTTTTATTTTGTTAAAAAAATTCAAATGAAATGTAAATTTTACATTGACTAATGATGAACCATATATAAAATAAAAAATCTATAACCTAATATAATAAGATTTAAAATTAAAATTAATATCAATATCAATTCTTTACATAAATTACACTCAAATCTCATTAATATTATTTTTTTAATTAATCTCATCGAAAACCATTGTATTCTGCAGAGGAAATTGATTATATAACTTTTTTATTTTAATATTTGTTGTTATATACATTAAGAATGTAGAATTTTTTTTTTTTACCAGCAATATATTTCTTGAAACGGCTACAAAGAGGTCTTCTTTACATGCTAAAATTCAATTTCATCCTCTAGGTGTAATAATAATGAAATTTAAAGATTGATTATTAATTATAAAAACTATATTTACATCATCGGTCTCCTAAAAGCTTTAATTAAGTAATTAATTTTTGGTTAAAAAAAATTTAGGCAACACTTATTTAAAATACAAATTTCCAACAACTGATTTAATGATATAATAATAATTTTTCTATAAATTTTTTTTATAGTTATTATATTAATATTTAAAAATACTTGTACTCTTGTCATCATTCTTTTTTCTTTATTAGAAATCATACAAGTATGTTTATTAAAAGAATTAGGAAATATAAATAAACCATTTTATTTTTAAATCTCTACTCTACGGTCGTATTTAATAATATAATAATAAATATAAAATTTAAATTTTATTAATATTATATGAATAAAAAGTTGTTAAATAGATATTTGTTTGATGAATAAATGTGAATATAAACTTTTTCAAATGTCTATCCAACGACTCTTATTTGATAATAAAATGAAAATATAAATTATTATTATTATTATTATTATTATTATATTAATAAAAAGAAAATATTATTACTATATTAAAAAATTATTGTAATTAGGTTATTTTTGTAGTTGTGGTAAGATGGTAATGATTTGAGATACCTCAGTCTATCTATCTATATCTTATTATATATAAATAACGGAAGGAAGAAGAGATTGAAACTAGGTGTTGTGAATAATGCGGGCCAGTTTTGCTCTCAGTTCTCTTCTTAATATCTTTCCAGTGTGAGACTTGGGAATTGATTGAACAAAATAAACCTTGTGCAGTCTCTTGTAGAACACGACCTGTTCACAACAACACAACATGCAAACCGTAAATATGAAAATTTGTTATTAATTTTACTGCGGAACATATAATTAATTATACCCGTTTAGCTATAAAATCCTTCACAGCCTCTTCTGTAAGATCATAGCTCACCACGAAAGCCACTGGAACTTCACCCGCAGCATCGTCGTTTTGCCTGTTGGCTCCAATGGCAACAAATGACATACTATACATATTACTTACTACTCAGAAATCGTAGTGCTAATTAACTTACGGAACAACAGCTGCATCTGCAATGGAGGGATGGCTCATAAGAAGGTCTTCAAGTTCTGCTGGTGGCACCTATCAGTGTATATATATTACACTAATTATGATACGTTATAATTTATTTTTCCTATAGCGGCTGAGTAAAAATATCAAATTAAGAAGACATATTATACATATATGTACCTGGAAGGCTTTAAATTTGATGAGTTCCTTGGCCCTGTCAACAAGGAAAATCTCATCATCATCATCCACGTAGCCAATATCACCTGTATGAAGCCAACCATCTGCATCAATGGTTGCTGCAGTGGCCTTCTCGTCATTCAGGTATCCTGAAAATCTGAGAGCGTGTAAGATGAGCTTTATTGATTATAATATGTGTATTTCATAGATGTACCTTTCATGATCTGTTGGCCACGGATGCAAATCTCGCCAGGGTGGTTACGGGGAAGAGGAAAGGAAGTTTGAAGGTGGATGACCTTCAATTCTGCATTTCTGATAACAGTTCCGCATGAGCCTGACTTGGTCGGGAATGGATACTTTGCAAACCCCAAACACATGGCCAACACAGGACCACCCTCTGTCATCCCATACCCCTTCATTTACACACACATATAAAACATTCATGATATGATTCATTGTTTTGGAACTATTTGGAAGGGTCACTTTAGGAAGCATGCAGGGGAAGATGTAGTTACCTGTCCAACAATGGCGTTGGGCAACCTATTCCGCAGAGCCTCTTCTGCCTGTTGCCCCAGCGGCGCAGCCCCTGACATCACCATCCGTATCGAACTCAAATCGTACTCCTCCACCGCTTTGTTCTTCGCCAGCGCCACCACCAACGGCGGAACCATTATCGCCACCGTCACCCTGTGCCGCTCTATCGCCTCCAGCATCGCCCTCATCTCAAACTTCTCGATCAACAGAATGGCACTTCCCGCTCTCAGCGCGCACATCATCACACTGTGCATGGAGAATATGTGAAACAGAGGAAGCACGCAAAGCACAACGTCCTCTTCCTTCAGGTACACGTGCGGGTTCTCTCCCTCCATCTGTTGCGCCACGCCCGTCACCAAACTCTTGTGCGTCAGAACCACCCCCTTCGCCAGCCCCGTCGTCCCGGACGAAAACGGCATCGCCACCGCGTCCTCCGCCGATATCTCAACCTCCGGAACCTCACTCTCCTCGCCCTCCGGGAAACTCACGCAATTCTCCGGCGGGTAGTCGACGGTGGCCACTTTGAAGAAATGGCGGTGCGCGTGCTGGTTGAGCTTGTGGACGTGAGCCGAGAGGGTGACAACGAGTTTGGCGTTGGAGACGGCGAGTTGCTTGGAAATTTCAGCGGGGGTGAAGGAGGGGTTGGCGGTGGTGGCGACGGCGCCGAGCATGGAGGCCGCCATGAAGGTGAACACGAACTCTGGGGAGTTGCAGAGGAGAATCATGACGACGTCGCCCTTCTGGATTCCCAGCCTCGACATGCCGGCGGCCACCTTCCGCGAGGCGAGGTAAGTGTCGGCGTAGGTGTAGGTTCTGGCGGAGGCGATGAGGCATGGGCGGTGGGGGATTTCGGGGAGTTTAAGGAAGCAGTATGTGTGGAGGGGGAGGTTGCTGGGGAGGGGTATGTCCGGTAATTTTGATCTGAAAATGTGAGTGGTGTTGTGTTGAGTTTGTAGCGAAGTAACTGCTTCTGACATTGTTGAATTCTTAAGTTGTCTCTGGTGTGTGGTTATGGGGGTAGCAAATGAATGAGAAATGGAACCAACGAAGAGCTTTTAATATGATTCTGTCTCTCTTCCTGATGATGTAAGTATGCCCTGGCAGAGATTTGGCAAGGGAATTTGAACAAAAATTGTCCCTTTCTCAATTTTAAATAATTAATTTTACATTTAAACTTAAAATATATGTGGGTAATTAATTTAATAACATAATATTCCTCTTTTTGAGAGTTGTTGAAAGCCACCAATGCCCCCATGTAATCACATAAAGGTGCCCTTTCTTCTTTGTTCAATAAGGAAAATGTAAAATTAATACCCTTTTATAATAATATAATAGTTATAATTCTTTTAAGTTATATTTTATTATTATAAAAGGATTACCAATATAAAAAATTGAATTATGAAATTATTATTACCCTTCTTTTAACACCTCGTTTAAATTGCATTGATAATCAGGGACGAAGATTTATAGAGCTCATGGGGCTGAATATTATTTAGTATATAATTTATATTTTATTATTTTTAAAAAATATTCTTATTTTTAGCCCCTTCATATTCAACTTTGGCTTCACCTTTATTCATAAAGGTATAAAGGAATTGAGAAGACTATGTTAAAATGTACTTAATAAAAAGCAAATTTATATTTAGGTAGACACAGTCTATTTTTAAAGAAATAAAAAACAATAAGTTATTAAATATAGTTGCATAATACTAACTTTAAATTCGACAAGTTTCTATTAACATTGTATTCTTTATAAGCATGAAAATATAAAATTTCATATTATATAATTTATACATAGTATTTTATCATCAAATCCTAAGTTGTGCAGGAACAGTGCCTCGAGTCACCGCAATGAATAAAAAATAAAGAATAAGAAGTGATATATATATAAAAGAATTAAGGTAATGATATTCTCAATCCCTCTTGAAATGATAACTATTACAGGGAGCTTGTAATAAAGAAAAATTATAAGTTTTGATACTATGTCTAAAGCAGCAATCTATAAAATGAGATATGCAACGTAATTTTCTCCTTTAACATTTTAAAAATAAGATTTATTTGTTCTATGTATTTGTGTTTTATCGTTTAAGAATTAAAATTAAGGATAATTTATATATATTATTCTTTTTTAATCTATTAAAATATTTTTTTAAATAAAATAATATCATATAAAAAGATTAAAATATTTCTATCTTAGGTGTTATAATTAACTATAATTGAGATAATTTCTACCTGAAACATTAACACCCAAGTGAAATAAAGACTAAAATATCACGTTTAAAAATAAAAGAGTTTCAAAATAGACAATACTTTAAAGATAATAATGATGTTATAAGAATTTATATTAGGTTAAAACACTCTCATTTTTACACAAAATATTGACTTTGATAGTAGTGTCAAAACTAGAGTCTCAATTTTTTTTCATCTCTTAATTCTCAATTGGAGAATTATGTTTTAATATGTTCTTTAGTCCATCATCATTTAGGAGTTGATTTTAATGATAATTTATATACACTTCTTCTTTTAATGAAATTGAGGTTAATGAAAATTTATTTATACTTATTCTCTTAATTCATCGTCGTATATTTTAAGGAAAAAATAATGATAGATTAAGTTTTTAAAACTAACAATATTCCAAATGTATTAATTAATCGTAACAATATTATTATAACAACGATATAAATATGAAACGCTTTTATTGAAACACTTGCTAAATATAGATAATATTTATGGATACTAATATCTTGTTAAATTTCACTTAAAACTAATGGACTATAAATAAAATAATTTAATTAATATATAAACTGTATTCTCTACAAATAATATAATAAAAATATAATGAAAAATTATAAAACATAAAAAATTCCATTTAACTTAAATTTAAGTTTTGAGTTGATATATTACATTGCTTTTACTTCTTCATTGTTGAAGAATTGGTTGAAAGAAATTTTATTAAAGAAAATTGAAGAAAATAATTCACAAATATTTGTAATGAAATTCCACCAAAGCAAGAATTTTATAATACTCTTTCATTAATATATATATATATATATATATATATATATATATAAATTAAAAAAGATGCTCATGAAAAATTAAAATAATTTTAGAAGATATGAAGACATATAGAACCCAAAAAACCAACAGAGAAAGGAGGAAATACATAATAATGTATAATTAAGTTATATATTAGAAATATATATATATATATATATATATATATATAATAAAAATTAAATTACCTAAACTTAATTTTTGTTTTGGGATGATAAATCGTAATACTCTTAATTTATTTCTGCTATGAGATACATATAACTGTATGAGAATAAATTTTGGTTGAAAAAAATTAATAAGTGAGAAAATAGATAAAAGAATGTAATAATAAATATAAATATAAATATAAATATAAATATAATCGTTTATTCATAGATTGAAACTTCTTAGTTAAAAGTTTATCATTTTCAATTGAAAAAAAGGAGACCATATCATTAAAAACAAATCATAAATAAAGAAGTACGAATCAAAGAAACATGATGAGACGATTACTTAAAAAAATGGGTCGAGTGAAGAAGAAAAAGAATATAATATACAATTAAATTATACTATTTAATATAATTAATTCAAATATGAAAGAACGGTTATTTTATTTTTTATTTTGTTCTCATTTTCTTTCTGTGTGCTGCTACTTGGTGATAGTAGACTTCATCCCTTTTATGAAACCCAGGTTTTGAGTAATATTTATAGAGATTTTTTTCATAGTTCCTACTGATAGTAATTTCTATTTCTTAACTGGCTCATCCATTACACTGGTGTGAGTTAATAAATGGTGATTATAATTAGAGTTTACTTTATAAACCTACATCTGGCATTTGATGTAAAACTTTATTTTGAAAATGATCGATGCAAAACTTTAATTTGAACTAAAATCACTGAAGAAAATACAGGTTTTGTCCATAACATTAGACTTGAACAAATCTTCATTCACTATCAAATATTTATAGATTCTGGTATCAATTTTCTTATGATTCACAAGCACACTAGAAGTTCATTCACCGTGATCATTCAGCTTTTGACTCGAGGGGAAAAGAATTTTAAACAAAAAAATGTAAACTGACAAAAATAATGAGGTATCATGGGAACTGGAATGAACCACCGATTTGGTTTGTACCAGCAGGGGGATTGATTGCCACCCAAAGGAGTGATATTGTGATTGCTATGAGACCTGACCATACAAAAACAATGGTAGGCGTTCTCCCTCTTCTCCCCATCAAACCTTTTGCAAAGGGGTAGAGATGGGTCAAGACCCAAAAACTGAAGAAAACACCACCTAGTAGACGACTCCACTGAGGTATGACACTGTATATGGTCCTGCTAACTCCAACTGCTATTGCTATCAAGTTAACCATCATAATTGTGATTGGTGGTATCATAAGGGATGTCCACTTCACAATATATAGATCAGCAAACTCATCATCCACATCATCCCCTGCAGATTTTGATGTCAATGTGAAGGAGATTTCAATCCCTGCTATGACTTTAAGCAAACCCTGCAACACAGCAGCTAGGTGTGCACTTGTCCCTCCAATTAACCAAAACTGCTCATTTCTCCACCATTCTTCCAGCTCAATGCCAGACCACTTGATTTCAAGCACCGCCAGCATGCACAAAGTCACAGTGATGGTCAAGAGATAAACAAGGAAAGTGACATTGAGAGTTTGAACAATGAATTGACCAGAGAAGAGGGAAAGTGCTGGAAGGAAGCAGTAGACAATTAGGAAAAAGGAAGTGAATGGATAGATTCCAACATTAAGGTATGCAATCCGTTGGAGAAACTTCATTCTTGAGCTAGCCAGAAGTGCATTGTTTCTTGAGAAGAATATTTCGACTGACCCGGTTGCCCATCTGAGGACCTGATGCAGCCTGTCAGTGAGATTGATGGGAGCAGTGCCACGGAATGCATCACGCTTGGTAACACAGTAAACTGATTTCCATCCTCTATTGTGCATCCTATATCCAGTGACCACATCCTCTGTAACTGATCCATAGATCCATCCAACGCGCTGTCCCCACTCAGTCTTGTCCTCATACCAGCAAGAGATCACACTGATGGCCTCTGCCACAGTTGATGCATCAAGAAGCTCACGAGGTATGGTAAGGGCACTCGGAGGGCGTCCATTCTTCACTGCAGGGTGATCAGCAAGTGGCCTTCCTTGGAACTCTGCCACTGGGATTGAGTCGATGAGGAAAGTTGAGTTTCCAAACCTTTTAGGGAACATTGATAGATTCATTTCTTCTTCTTCATCAGATTCACCCATCCTCAGTGCTCTGTTCTCTTCAGAGATGTTAGCATTCTTCTTTCTACTACCAAAGCAGCAACTGCAGCAGCCAGGATGGCGTTCTTTAGAGCGAGGAGGATCAAAACCATAAAGCGCGACCCTTCTAAAAAGGCAACCGGTTCCTACATAGACTGGCCCTTGAAGTCCGTCAAGTGCTCTCATGTTGACATCAAAGAAGACAGTGTTATGATTGGCATATCTGTCAGAAGGGTCAATCCCCTCGAATCTTTGTGGGAACTGAACATAGCAAATGCGGTCACCACCACGGTCCATCATAAAGCACATACCTTCCCTCATTGCCTTGGAGTTGTAGATGTAGTGGTCACAGTCAAGATTCAGTATAAAAGGACCATTGGACATGATGGCTGAGGCTCGAACCAAGGCATTCATGGCCCCGGCTTTTTTGTTGTGATCATAGCCTGGACGTTTCTCTCTAGAAACATAAACCAAAAGGGGGAGACGGATATCAACATCAGCCAGGTCAATGAGCTTTGTATCGTCAGCATTTCCAAGAAGAGGTTCATCACTAGGAGGTTTCAACATCACCTGCATCATTCATCAACTATGAATTATTCATTCTCATCTCTCAAAGAATAAACTTGACACTTGGGATGTATCTCCACTAAAAACAATATGTTTAATACCTGAATTATTCCCGCGTGATCACCCTTAGAGTGCTCAGATGAAGGATTCAACCAAGTCCCTGGCCAATGAGTTCCATCAGCCATCCATGTGGCTTTTGGAATCTTTACAGGTTCTACAGGTTCATCTACCTTGTTTTGTCTCTGCAGTTTCATGGCCCTCAATTCCTCTCTTGCATGAAAGGCGTCAGACCGGCGGCGGATAGAGTCAGGCAGACCATTGATCCTGACCTTGAACTCATCATACTCACGTTTCACCCGTCTACGATCCTTGACAAAATCTGGTTTCACTTTGTTTTTATAGGGATCTCTCTTTAAGTTGAAATATGATTCAGGATTCCTAGGCTCTATGTCATGCTTACGGCAGAATGGAACCCATGCATTAGCAAAACTGGCAGCTTCAGCCATTGCCTCAAAGGTCAGAAGTGCACCCCCATCATCAGAAACATAGCAAGAAAGTTTCTCAACCGGATAGTCTGCGGCTAAGATAGATAAGATGGTGTTTGCAGTGACAAGAGGTGGTTCTTTCTCAGGATCAGCAGTAGAGACAAAGACATCTATCCCCGGTAGATCAGACTTTCCAGTAGGATTGTTGGGACTTGGCATTTCAAATTTTTCCTTCAGAACATTAAGATCTGTGGAGCGATTTATCGGGCATAGCTTGGGCAGTTGATCCAGAAGCCAAGAAAAGGCAAACCATATCTCACAAACCACAGACATGCCCCATAGCCAGATTGCATCAGTATTTTTGTGCTTCACCCTCCATGCCAGGAACAGTACCAAGACAACCAACCGAATGAAAATGATGAGACTGTAAAATTAGATGCAACAGAAACAAGAGGCAGTCGTTAGAAGACAGATGATTGGTGTAATGCACGTTAGTTTTCAAGTTCTTGATTATATCACATTATACAAACTACAGGCAATTTGCTCTAGTCCTCCCATAAGATCATACCACTGTAAAAAATGATCTAATATAATTCGTTCAAAACGTTTCTATCAAAGTCAATCACCATTGTAAAATTGATGAAAATATGGTGGGGTAGATATCTTAATTATGACAATGATTACAAGATATGGTAATTTCAAAGATGATAATATAAAATACACCAAAAAAGCATACAGATTCGAACATATAATAAACTAATATCTACTTTTTCTGTGTGGACTTACATATAATGATGGTGCAGATTCAAATATGGTCGAAGTAATAGTACTGTTTTTGATTAATAGAAAAACTTCTAAAACAAAATACGAGGTTGTGGTTATTTTTATAAACAGCAGTTTAAATTTTCTTACTGAATAATCTAAGACAAACGAACATAAGTATTTTTACCGATATGGGCTGAGAACAGCAGCAGGTATCTTGAGTTTCCTTGTAAGTGGTCTCCAGGGTCTGTTCATCAGATCCATTGGCTCAAGAACATCATCATCATCCCCATTTCCATTTCCAAAATTTCCTCCCTTTGGCCAAATGGCATTGCCATAGCCATAGGTACCCTTTGTTTCATAGAGCCACCGATTGTGATCAAAATCTCCAGTCTGGCTTCTCATTAACGCCGACTTTGTTGACTTCATTAAGGACAATCTCCTCTCCATTTTAGACACTCCACTTGAGGGAGGAAGTGGAAATGGCCTTCCATTTCGATCATCCACAGCGACTTCATCTAGCACTGTGTTCTTGTAAGGCTCTTTGCATCCCGGGCACATTCCATCTCCTGATTTTACAACATCAATATAGCAGTCTCTACATATCTTAAAATCACACTCACAAGGAAGAATATCCACACCACGTTCATCACTCATCACCTTACAATCACAGCCAGGAATTGCACATGAAGATCCTTTTGCACCAGCCATCTGTGGATGACTTGCTTCGGAATCTATCACCTTATCCATTAGATGGGCATGAGTAACACTGTTGAATCCTCCTGTGAAAAGGGAACTTGACACATATTGCTCCTCAACTTTCTGTGAAATTGATGGATCCATAGGTTGGTTATCAGGTGTCAGAGGCATGTGCACTGTGTAATTCATGAAGTCACTACTCCCTAGTTCACTGTCAAGATCATCTCTGGAGTAGCTGATGTAGCGACCCGAGGAAGTTCTTCGCCCAAAAGTTACGGTTGGAGGCATAGGAGGCTTCTGGGCGTCAGGTGCCTCAGAAGTTGCTGACTGAGAATGAGATAAACGGCTTGGCTTGAATGGTTTTGATGACATATTTGAAGGACAGAGACTAATCTTAAAAAAACTGCAAAATCCATAACTTGAGCAAATCAAATCTTCCTCAGAATTGTGCTATAAAGACTGAATTCAATGTTTAAGGGTGAATCTTAAACTCATAATCCATACATCCCCATAATGATGATTGATAAGAGAAATAAATATTCAAGTGAATTGTACCTAAGGCAATCCTAATAATAAAGACGCATCATTCAAGGCTTTTCATATTTTGTGAAAAATTCTCCACTGTTCAAAATCAAAATTTAACTAGTCATTACCCTACCGTCTATATCTTTCTAACAGGTACACAGAGCAAAGCACTAGATCTCAGTAAAACTTTCAAGAGTTTACAGAAAATGTCAAGTGCCAACAAATTCTCTGATACATCAAATAAATGGCAATAGAACTTCTAAGGAATCACAAATCGTCTAACCTATGAAAGGTTACAGATTCAGCAGAATCTGAAGTACCCAAATGCAGACACTCTACTCAAGACATTTAGTTGCTTAAAACTCTAGTGCAAGATCCAAATTTCCTCTCGATCCTTCTCCCAGTTTCTGAGAACTCGAACCAAAAGCCCACGTTAGGACGAAGATTCAGATGAAAAATGTTCAATGCTTAATTTAGGACTCCAAGGAGAAGAAAATAGAGAAAAACAAAAAACAGAAATAAACTAATAAACGAACGAAAGAGTGAAAGAGCGTTGTGTTGAACTGTTCAAGACAGACAGTCACACCAAGTCAGGCTGAGTTGGAAAACCCCTTTGACTTCCCTGCATTGCTTCATTAACAAATCCTCAAAAGTCCAAAGTTTAAGGAAAAAAAATGTTCCCACTTTCACCTTTCACGGCTTTATTCGCGGCAATCAATTAGTCCGACGCATATGGGAGAAAGTCATCACAATCACATAAAATCACACCGTAAGTAGATAAAGAAACACCCCGTGAATGCATATCTCAGGAAAAGGGATCAAGCAGATATTGATGACAAGGTGAAAAGAAATCATACCCGTTAGCTTGAAAAAGTAGATGCCACTCAGTGTGAGACTAGATCTGACATCCTTGTGCTGTGTCTGATCCTTATAAGAGAATCATGACAACATAAGTGTTTGAAACTGATTGCAAGAGTTTTATAACATGCTCTCCAATCGTCACCTTATGTAGTACTATCATTGTCCATACTCGCTGACAGAGAAAGGTAGTTAGTCGTGAGAGCACTACTAGTACATGATTCAACCCTATCATATCATATTTGTATGCTAGATCTTCATTATAAAATATATTTTTTATTGTTCCATGTTCCTATCTTACTTGAAAATACAAAATTATTACATACGAAGGTTCTTGGATTTTAAAGAGAAGTGGGGTTGATGGTGGCCATTGCAGGGATGTTATAAAAAAAATCATTTTTTTCCTTGTACAGACAACAATTTTGAAACGACATTCTGTATTTTGCATAGATAATGTGATTCGAGGAGAATTCTTGACATTTAGAGTGATTTTGTTTATCATAATTTTCATTTGTTAAAAATTAAAAATATATATAATTTAGTCTATGAAACAAAAATATTAATTTCAATAAATTTTTTACATAATTAATATAAATATAAAATTCCATGAATAATGAAGAATCTGACCCTAGTCAAAAAAATGTTTGTTGTTGACACGTTACAACATTATCCACCCAGTTGCTGTCATGAAGAAGTGACATGAAATACACAATTTTACGTTTGCCTTCTTTATTAAAAAAACAAAAAATTAAATCAAAGTTCAATATTGTCTTTCTCCAACAATTTCCTCGTGAGATATTTTGATTAGTCTCACATTTAATGTAAAGTAGGTTTTAATGCCACATAATTTTACATTTTTACTGTATAATTTTCTTAAACCATGAAACTAAATTATTATATTTAATTACAACAAATAATGTGAAGTATTTATTAATCATATTTTTTTTACAGGAGCTTTAATTTATTATCATAGTTCGTTTATCATGAATTAGTATCATATATGCTGGGTCTGCACCTGTTTATTCTTTACAATGGTTTGTTCAAAAGTTCTGCTTTCAAAACAAAATCTGATTCGAAAAAAGGAATGGTTATCCGATTAATTTAATACAAAAGTTATAAAATCAATTTAAATAAATTATTTTTTCAGAATAAATATTTATGCAAAAAAATATACTGAAATATACATACTACTAATTTAATTACAGGAATGAATCAGGAAACCTACTTAAATTCAAACATAATAACATTTTGTATGTAAAATAAATTTTGTATTTAAATTTAGTGGAATAAAAACATTTTAAAACTGTATTTTAAATTTTTGATTATGCAATTTTAATAATTATATTAAATAGAGTAATAATAATATTGATTTAATGATAATATAAAAAGATAACAACATTTATATTACATATTTAAATACATATTTGATTTTTTTTTCAAATAATATATTGTATATATAAAAAAATTACAACGTATTTTAGTTCATTTTAAATATTTAATAAGTTCACATTAGCTTTATTAAGAGGAAAGATGATGAAATACACACCACAAAAGTCATACACATTTTAAAACAATTGTCAGGAGATTGTGGAAAAAATAAATAAAACTAATGAAAGTTAGTTAGTTCGGATTTGATTTTTTTCCTCCAAAATCAAAAGTCATAATGAAAATCAGGGTTTAAGGTTACTTAAGATGTTATAACAAAAACGTTTGAAGTATTTTAAAATAAGATAAATCTTGAAGGTGATTTAAGAGGAGAGGTAAGTGGGAGCTTAAATAGGGAAAAGAAGAAAAGCGCGGTAGAGAAGGTTAGTTGATGTTGGTGTGATATAAATTTGGAAGCACAGAGCAGAGAGGGAATGGAAAAGAGTGGGAAATCCGAAGCCACATTGCGTCGGTGTGCAAAAGCTGCACTGCTTCTCTATGCCTTCAATTCCTCAAACTCCCAACACCAGGTAGAAAACCTTCTCTCACTCTCTCCGTTGCTCATTGTTTAATTAAATGATGATTAATTTCAGGAAAAGTGGGAGAGAGAAATCCATGACCTGAAAATTGAATTGGTGAAAGAGCGTTTCATGAAGAAGAAGATCAAGCTCTGTGCCTTGGCGGAGTTGTTCCTTCAGCTCCTCTTGTGTCTCTCCATTTCCACCTTCCTCTTCTTCTACTTTCTTTGATCTATTCTCTTGCTTTCCAACTTCAGAGACAGCTTCTTCTCAACGTATTTGTACATCACTCTCGCAACAATTTTTAAATTGTTCCTCTGATTTTGCATTACCCGCTCTTCTGCATTCAATGTGATAAATGGATATTTGTTTTTTTTGTGTGTTTTTAATTCGTTAGATGAATGAAATTTTAGTTGATTTGACTATGATTATGGAGGCCACTTTATTTATTATTGATTCAAATCATTATCTCAACGAGCTCGTACAAAAAACGAATTGTCTTTAACCCTTTAAAAGTATTTATGTGTGACTACTGAATAACTAACATAGAATATTAGTTATATTCTTAATAAAATCATTAATCACATAAATTATTACTATTATTATTATTATATGTTAAACATTATTTTTTTCTTAGTTTTGCTAAACTTATGTAAAATCATAAACAGCAGTGCAATGGAGAGCTTGAATATTCATATAATAACTAATCATTTATGTTGGCACATACGATAAGCATTATTACTACTAGAAATTCTCGTTTTAATTTAGATATCTTTATAAATTTTTTATAAAAATTGCAAAAAATAAGTTTCTTACAAATTTAAATTAATTTTACAAGAAAATTTGTAGGAAACAAATATGTTCTTAGTAGTGTATTTCGTAACACATTTTGAAACCATTGCGAACTCTTCAATAAGTGAAAATGTTATAATATATTAAAGGGTTATAACTCAGTATACAAGCTTTTCAGAGATCACAATCAACTCCGAAAAAAAAGTAAATCAGATTAGTAATATTAGTTATTTATAACCGTTACATATAGTTAAATTTATCTCTATTTACTGTTAATTCCTGAATGAAAATAAAATAAGAAATGAGGATTGGGCTTTAGCCTAGTCAAATATGGTTTTCCATCATTTTATCTCATACAGCAACCCAACTTTGGTCGCGCAAAAATGAACTTTTAGGCAATTATGATTTTCGATTGCCATTAGCTATCAAATCTATATCATACTACAGACGATTACATTTAAATTCTTTTTCGTCAAGTACCATTGAAATCATACAACAACTAACACACCAAAGAATAAAAAAAAATGCAGGAAAGGGATGAGCAAAACAGCAGATAATACAATTATAGAGAAAACAAAGTGATTCAAGAAACAATTGAAGCAGTATTAGTCATGTTGGCAGGCCTGCATTCACAGGTACACAGACGTCTAGATCCTTCCACTACACGTTGAGATCTTCTTGTGTGAAGCTTGATGTTCACCAACTTCCCAGCCATCTGTAGCACCAAACCGAGAGAATCATAGTAAAGGAGATACCTACCTACCATCATTCTTTCAAAAGACAGACTCCAAAATACATCAAAATAAAAGTCAAGGAAACATCACAGAATATGATATGCCTATACTAACCATTTTCAAATAGTTAAGATTGTCAAGATAATTGTAGACATCAAAATCCATGTCACAGAATTAGAGTGTAAATTTTCTATGATTCCTTGACAGATATTTCTGATGGTTTCCAACACAAATTAAATGAACATATCATACTACGTTCTCCAGAAAAGAATAACATTCACTATGATATAAGGAATAATTTAGAAATATTATCCAATCAGTGACAAAATACACAGTAATCCAAGTAAATCTGAATTAAAATAACTAACTGCTACGGTTGGCAAACAAAAACGGACGTAAGCACAAGGAGATCTGTAACTAAATAGTGTCGAAGATGCTATGACATTTCATTCTTTGAAACAAACATCTAATCAACAGGAATAGTTGTGTAACACGGACATAATCTTAACTGGACTGTTTGGAAGTACTTCTAAGACAAAAAAAAAAAAGTTCGTCCATAAACTAAAATTAGCTTATGCATGAGTTAATTTGTAGAAACTCTTTCGTATAACTTCTCTAAATTCTTAATTTTTACTAGTATAATATAATTTTAGCTTATGAAAATAATCATTTAATCTTTTTCTTTTTATTTTCTTTTTTATAACTGCTTATAGAGAAGTTTGTCCATATAAAACGCAAGTACCCAAAACTTTTTTTACGGTAACAAGTATTTGAATGTGAAACACTATAGCTAACAAAGTCCTGTCAATATTAAACCTTAACATAGTCTGATCGCCACCTTTCTCTGACTGGTCATTTCACTTCATCATATGGCGTCTAGAAATACATTTATCAAAATCTATGGAACAAATGAATAAAAAAGCGTAATTGCATTTCTTTTCCGAAACTAACAAAACTACAATGGAAGAAACTACTCGATGGGCAGGCTAAAACCTAAGCTTAAGTTCATTATGTGAAGAAAGAATCTAAAAAGAATAATAGGGGCAGAAACTTAAATAGCAAAACAAACAGTAACAAACCATTTTCCAAACCAAGTCTTCAGGACCCAATGGTTGAGCAGGACTAGAATACAGGAAATGCCTTGAATACTGAAAAGAAAAAAATAAACACAAAACATCAAACAAGCAAGCAAGACAATGCACAAATTAATTTTAGGAAATGAAATATTAGTTACGTAAAATTCAACATGATGGGAATTACAAACCTTGGCAAGATTTTGTTGCATTTCTTTGATATGAGCCGGTGTAATTCCTTTTAAATATTTCAAAAGCCAACCTGGCTTTACGGCATCATAAGAGGAAACAAATAATGCTATCTGCATGTACGGCAAAAGGTTAATTGCAACTTCCCATCAAAAAATAAAAAATAACTCATAAAGCTCCGAGTTATCAGATAATCATATAGCAGATTAGACACAATGCAGTTTTTGATCACTGGGTGTGTGCTACCGTGGAGTGCTCTTTCAAGGTTTTTGTTTTAACAAGAGGCCCAAATTCAGTAACAGTCTGCAATATATGTTGTTCTTGATGTATTAGGTTGAAATTGAATGCATGTAACTTTTTCTCCCCTCACTTAAATCTTAGTTTATGATTATTTTTATAGTTTCTCTTTGGTGTTATGGTCATGGGCAATGGCTATCTTGTCGGTATTGTCACCAACAGCTCCAATGCAAAGAGTCAGATAAACTGGATGGCCCTACTGGGTTTTTTGAGTTCCTGCTATACCCTTGTACTCTTTCTCTTTAATGCTTGAGGGGACCTTTATATTTCCATTACTAAAACTATAACAAGTTACCAAATGTAACAACCATAAGGCTAAGGAGGAAAACCATCCCTCAAAAGGTTGGAGAACCTCCCACCTTATAAGGCCTCCCTGGTAAGGAGACCTCCCCGATGTGAGACTTGTTACAATACCACCCCCTTTGAAAGCTAACATCCTCGATGGCTGCACTCCCCAGTACTTCACTCAGCCTTCTTATCAGTCAGAACCCTCCGATGATCAGAACCCTCCGTGGGTGAGAAGGGTTGACTGACTCTCAATGAAAGCACTAATGTAACAACCATAAGACTAAGGTGGAGAACCATCCCTCAAAAGCTAGCTCAAGAGGTTGGAGAACCTTCCACCTTATGAGGCCTCCCTGGTAAAGAGACCTCTCCGATGTGGGACTTGTTACAAAAACCTTTTCTTTCTCCAAACAAATCCACTCCATTTTCAGAAAATGAGTCATTAAAACAAACTTAGTTAATGACATAATCATGTCCTGCAAGAATATAATTCGCTCCTCTTTATGTACCCAAAAGAAGAAAATAGCCAGGTTGCCAATCTGGTTATCCAATCCCATGGGTCTCTCTCTCTTAAGAAAAGCTCACGGCAAGAAACTAGTCAATACCATCCAGACATTGGGCTTTATATACAGTGCAACATATACAAAACAACAGATATTCCCATAACACCTTGCCCAAACTGTCCACACCAAATAAATACCATCCAAAGCTAGCAAGTTATCTTAACCACTGTTTTGAAACCAGACATTGGGCTTTATATACAGTGCAACATATACAAAACAACAGATATTCCCATAACACCTTGCCCAAACTGTCCACACCAAATAAATACCATCCAAAGCTAGCAAGTTATCTTAACCACTGTTTTGAAACCGGTATGATGCTTTCAAATAACCAAATTTTAATTAAACCGAGACAAAGCCGAAAAAACCGGACAAAACCAGTTGAGTTTTTGGGTCATATCGATTTTGATATAAAAAAAAATTTAGAATTAAATTTTTTTAATATAATATTTTTTATAGAAAATGTAATATATTTTACTTTTTTTTTATCTTATATTAGTTACGTCAACTTTAAATAATAGTTATTTTATTATATTTTTATCTTATTTTAATAATTATTCATTTTTCACTCTCTAATATATTTTATTCTTATAACTTTCATTGTATATGGAAATCAAAACAATAATCTTTATTATTATTTTTTTATAAAAAAAATTATTACTAATAAACTTATTATATATTTACTATATTATAAAAATATTATTTTATTAAATCCGGATGTTGGACCCTGGTTAAACCTTTAAATCCCGACCCCAAACCCATGCGGTTTTAAAAACATTGATCTTAACCAATTATACTGTTAACTCTCAATGATGTTCTTAATGTAATCAACTGCATGATATATAAATGCATACACACCTTCCTGTAATCAAGTATTCCTTCAAAAGGAAGCTCCAGCTCATCACTTATTATAAGTGGAATGCATCCACTAACAATAGCATCAAATAATCTAGCAGAGGATGGAGTGTCACCAGCTGGACTTAAGCAAAATAGAGACCTGATGATGTCCAAGGCAAGCAAATAAATACAACAAAAAAAGTATCCAGAGTACATTTATCCAAGTGCTGAACTTATATTACTTGCGCATGCCAATTTGAGCAGCTTCTTTTCCGCCCTCTCCAGCTGTTCCCTCCTCTATACTCACACCATCAGCCCCACTTAATTCAGCTACAAGTTTAGAGCGTATCTTTCCTCCCTGAAAGAAGAAGATCACACAGAATGCAACTAAACTCTATAAAAACATGCAGCATGCTAGTGACCGAAAATTAGAGAAGGTTGCATACGAAAGAAGGGGAAAAAAATTTGATCTGACTTCTAGTTCAGAAACTATAATATCAGACAACTAAACAGTAAAAACCCATTAGCCAGCCATGGTTAACAAGGCCTTTCCTATATAGTTATTGAGTAGAGGACATATCACATATTCTACATTATAAAGATATGCTTTTGTCAATATCAGCTCCCGATTTTAAACTAATAGTGAAAAAAAACGGGGAAAGAAATAATTTATATTTATACATTGCATTTTCAAAGCAACAAATACCTTCTTTTTCCTGATAAAACATTCCAACTTGTTTTTGGGTGACAACGGGGGTCTTTTCCCGCATCAACAAAATTCTGATTTTAGCTGCTTAAAGTCAGTTCTAACTAAAAAGGCTTATGTTAACAAAACTTAAAAAATATACTGCTACTCTCTACTATTGACAATAATTGCTACTTCAACGTGAGAGGGAAGAGGAAAAGATAATAAAAATCAGGTTTCTAGATTTCAAGTGAAGTGACATCTTATACAGATATAACTTTCAAAGCTTCCACCTGCTATCACAATATGCTTACCGCATTCCTCTTGAGCCTGCCCCTAAAAAAAAGTAGCATATTTCTCTTTGGATTTGTCTCAGATAAACATCTGGCATCACATAAATCAAGATTGGGAACGTATGGAAGAATCAGGTCTTTCTCCAGAAAAACCTGTCCTGGTTTGTACCTGAAAGAGGGAAAATATCACCGGATGTCATTTCCAATTATCAATAGCATTGAACTAATAAAGTTGTGTGCAAGTTAGAAAATGACCAGTTCCCGGTGGAATCCATATCAGGCAACAACCATATTGCATTCTTCACGAATTTTCTAACAGACTTAAAAGACCAGGGATGATGCACAGGGATTATGTGATCTCTACCACCAGAGCGCTTCCATGCAGGTTGATCTGTGATCCACTTCAAAGCTTCCTACACCCACAACAAAATAAGGCATAATTATTCATATTGCACCTGGCATAAAAAAACAGAAAAACAAGGTTCGAGTATTGTTAATAGTTCAGGAATAAGCTCTGAATTTCATCCTTAAGTTTTACTCTCTCTCCTAAATACTAGTTTCTAAACTTATGTAATATAAATAATCTCCTAAATATTGAAAAACCTTTCAAAGTAGTCCTCAAACAGCTGGTGAAATATATCAAACTGCGGGACTAAACATATGTTATGGACATTTAATACTTGGGGAATTACTTATATGGTTTTATTATGTGAGGAAAAGAAGGGTAAAGTAAGAGGATGAAATTGATGGTTTATGCATAGTTTAAAAAAAGGAAACACAAAGAGAGAAATAAACAGAGAGAGCATTAGAAGAGCACTCACACCCTATAAAGGGCCTTGCATTGTTGTTTTTCCATGAGGAAGAAGCTGATTGTGGTAAAGAAGGGTACGTAGAACAAATCAGCTTCCTCCTGTCGGTGAACCCTAACGACACTGTTCAATAGCCTCTTCGATTGGGGAGCGATGAGATCCGCCCAGAGCCAGTAATCAATGGAGTGCTGCATTTACAATCACAACCAACCAACGCAATTTAAAATATCAACAAACGGTAACAGAATAAAGCGAGGAGAAGCGGAAGGAGAAGGAAGAAACCTGTTCGATGAGACGGTGAACGGGACTTCCATTGGAGGTGAGATTGGAGGTGTCTTGGTAGGTCCTTTTGAAGAGCCAGAGCAAATCGTAGGTGAATTTGGGGGGCATGTCGTAGACGTAAACCCTAAGGGGAAGAGAAAGCGGGTAGTAAGGATCGGAGTATAGCCTGTCCATCTCGGAGCCATAAACGGCGTCATCGAGCTTCGTGATGAGGTCATGTTGTTCACCGTGCGCGGTGTCGTCGGAAGAGGAGGGTGGCGTGGGAGTATTGGCGAGGAAGTGGTCGAGGGAGACGAGGAAGGAGGTTTCGGCATTGGCAACGTGGAAATGGGCGGGAGAAGCAGAGGGGGAGCGGAGAGGGGAAAGAGAGAAGAGGAGGAAGAGGAGAGAGAAAGAGAGAAGGAAGAGGAAGAGAGTGGTTCGAGATTTGGATCGCGGGATGTACTTTCCAGGCATTGTTACATGCGATGGATCTGGATTATGCTTCCACTAATTTACAGAGACAACACAAGTCACATATGAGGATATCAACAGATAATCTTTCATAATTTCTCAATGCACTTGTTTTCCAGTGTTCATCAATGGGTGCTACCAATACTTCTTTTAAAAAAAAATTCATTTTTTTTGTTTTTATTTTTTATTTAGTTTAGTTTTTATTATCTAAAATAAAGGAAATATATATAAAAACTGGTCAAATTCTATTTTTATTTTAAAAAAATTCACATATCTGCTAAAATTTCTTATGAAAAATTATATTTAAATCTTTAAATAATATTTATCTCTCTAATGTTATATATATATATATATATATATATATATATATATATATATATATTATTTTCTACAAATGACATTTATTTATATTATAATAGTTATTTTGGAATATATCATAATAAGAATTTATTATTATGAAACAATTTAAATTATATTCCAAAGTGTTTCATTGATAAATTTAAAAATTAGAACTTATGAATGATGCTTTCCCCAATATTTAGAGAAATCTTTTAATTTATTTTAAGTTGAAATTTAGGAATCTTTTACCAACATATCTTATAATCCTAATCTGTCTATATACACATCGATTTCAAAAGATGACCCATTTCTAGTAGAAATCAGTGAAAGCTTGTCTAGCGACTATTGTGTTTCAAACTCTACGACTCTATCATCGACCACAAATTCCTCGTTCATGGAGAAAACAGAACTATGGGTAGAACCGAACATTGCAAATTTAGCAGATGGATGTTTCATGTTCCGCGGAGGATTTTTTATCTGATTAAGAGGTAACGAAGAGTTGGAAAAGAAAAGGGAATTACAAGGACAAAGAATCAATGTCAAATTTGAAACAAAATTTGAAGTTTGGTTCAGTTTTAAGTTTCGTGCTACTTTAGTGTATCATCTTCAACCACAGTGCGACTCTATGTCAGAAATACTAATCAATCGATTTGGGGTTGTCCTTCAAACATAAGTTGCAGGGATACTTTGAAGAAGAAGAATGGAGAGAATCCACACACAAAAAAGAAACACAGATAATGGAAGGAAAGTGGTATCAGGTCTTAGTTCATAATCAGCATATATAATATGAAAGCAGCAAGCCTTCAAGTCAAATTTGAAGATTTGCTGTGATGGCAACTTAGAAGGAGATGAGATCATCTTTAGATGATTGTTGTTTTTTTGGATACTGTCCCGCATCAAAACCATCTCTACCCTTTTTCCCAAATATCATCTCATCAAGATCATCCAACAATTCATCCTGGCTCCCTCCATGGACTCCGATTCTTGAACCACCAGGCTTTCTAATCAGGGCTTTCTCTTCTGTAAAATGGGGTGGCTCATCAGGTTCTATGGCAACAGGTACCATAGCCGGTTCAGGTTCAAGTGGAACAACTGTATGCTTCTTCTTCTTCATCATTTCTTCATATTTGCAGACAACCTTCTGAATCTCATCATTTACATTCAAGGCTTCTAAAAGCAGTGTTTCATTATCCCAAGCAGTCTCAATGATTCTATGGACATTGGTCTGGGACTGACGGCACTGTTGTACTAATGTGGTGATCAAATCATCCTGAAAAGATCAGACACAAGTTGGTAATTCACAGGATGTGCTTATTTTGGAAGAGCTTTCAGCACTACAAAACTCACTAGATGATTTTGACATAATAACTTACAGAAACACAACCATGTGCCCCCAAAACAAAGATCTCATGGTCTTTGAATATAAAGTATAAATTGACATGCAGCTGCTATCTTATTGTCTTATGGACACGGCTAAAACAAATGAAATTGCATCAACAAATAGAATATTGTAGTCCAATATATATCGATGTCGAGTTTCAACTCAAATGAGGGCAACCAAAAAGAAACGTAAAATTGCAACTAGTACATAGATTTTAAAGGCAAGATAACACAGAAATGCAAGTAGTTCAAAAAATTCAAAATACCTTTAAAACATCCTGTTGCGTTGAAGAAGATAATACAATGGAAAGAAGCTCAATGCTATTTCTCGCAACATCAAAAGCTTCCTTTGTTTGTTGAGAGGTAAAACTCTGCACATGAACTTCGTGCTGCATAAGATGTGCAAGACTGACATCAGCCTTTGGAGTAGTGGCAGAACGAGCAGGAGTACTAGGCGAAAAACTTTGCACATGAATGTCATTCGGCATAAGATGTTCAAGATTGACATCAGCCTCTGGAGAGGCGCCAGAGCAAGGAGGAGTGAAAATAGGAGCCAAACTTTCGATGTCACGGCTAGGGAATCGAATACCCCTTGATTTCAAACTCTGGACCAGAAAAGTGTTATATATGAAACCATTCATGATCATTCCTTAAAGTAACAGCTTAATTTTACGCGAGAGTGGGTTCATGACAATGTATTAGAGCTTTTATGGCCAAGTAATCAATGATAAGTTCATCGTTTTCTGAAATTATCAAATCCAAACAAATCTTGGCTTCACACTATTACCATATTTTGCTTCTCTTATTTGAAAAGTGACAACCATGGAAAGTTGTGAAAGTACCTTGTAAGTTTCTGCATAGACAGGCAGATAGCGAAGTTCAATGGTTGACTCGCCCCATGCCTCAATCATCATCAAAGCCTTATTCCGGTTATCAACAACAGTGTGAGGGTCATCAATGAGCTTGACCATCTCATCAAGGACTCTCTCAGTTGCCACCTCCAAGAAAGCCTTGTCACAGTTCTTGACCAATGCATCAAGCAAAACCAAAGCCAGATACTGACTACCAGGACTCTTGGAAACAACCCGTTTCTTTATTGCACGTACCACTTCAGCTGTGTTTAGTTGGTCACTATTGATCAAGTCACAGAGATGAAGAATGATGGGCCAGTCAGGGTGATGAAGGGCCTCAGAGGTAGCTTCCCCAACGAGTTTATCAGCATGGCTTGAATCCTGGAAAAATTCTTTGACTTTGAAACTCACAGAACTCATTCCAGCACTCATCTTCCGACCCACCTCAGCTCCACCAATTTTGAGACGCTCCCCCAAAGCGTTGACTCTTCCCATCAGATTCTCACTCATTTTTCCTCAATCAGTTTGACCCCACCAATGGCCTCAAAATCTGCAGACACAAAACTGCACTCAAGCTATTTCAGGGTATATATTTTGGATGAATTAAGGGTAACTAAGATGTAATCGTTTGATAAAAAGCAAATGAAGAAGGTTTGAATTCCACTTTTTTGTTGGTGTTGGAGAAGATAAACAGTGTCTGGATATGTTCCTTGGAGTTTCAGCCTTCTTCTATATAAGTCCAAAGTTCCAATTTGATTTAATTCCTCGTACGTTACGTTACATGAATTCACAAAAGATAAAACAACCTTCAACCGTCTATGCATTACTCTACTGTAGTTCTGTAGTTCCACAATTGTATGAAATTCATTAACATTGTTAAGCTATGTTTATTTTAAAGTTTGGAAAATGTTTTTACTAATTTTAATGCATGATATTGAATTCTAAAACAGAAATAAAGAAGAAGAAAATATTTATTTCAGAGTAGAAATAGCTTTTTGTGTTCTTTCAACTTTAGTTCAAATATATAATTGGTTTGAGATAAGAATGAAAAATAAAAATAAAAACTAGTTTATATTTCAGTAGATGTGTGCATAGTTGTGTTAAGTAACTAAGCTTTTGTATTTTGCTTAGTATGATTTGTTGTAGAGCTTAGTACTTAATAAAATAGAATATCACATTGGGTGCAATTTGTTGTAGAGCTACTACTGGTGGGGTTTCTATTTAATAATTGACATTATAATAATTTTAAATAAATAGTTATGTCTTAAATCTCTTTATTTTTTAGTGTTTTTTTATCAAAATTTATATTTAATTTAGTATTAAAAAAATATTTAAGTAATAAATAAATTTTAAATTAATATTTATATTATATTTAAATATATAATTAAATTAATTATTGTATTCATTATATATAAATAAGATAATCACATACTTTCTATTTTATTTCTTAACTTGTTGTGAATCATACATAACTTTGTCATTATTTTCATCATATATGTTTTATCATATAATATTATTGAAATAAAGAAATTACTTATAGCTTTTAATTTATATTTATATTTACTTATCATTTATATGAAGAATGATTAGTAAAAAAAATATTTAGGATATGGAAAATATATTTTATATTACTTTAGAATTACATAAATATAGCCAAACAAAATAATAATAATTTTTATTATATTACATATAATTTTGTATACATTAAATTAATAATTCTAAAAATAAAAACCATATTCCAATTTATTATTTTTATCTTTGGGAACGAAATGAGTGTTTTTTTAATATATTAAAAAGAACCAATTATACTATAATAATTTAAAAGCATAGTATTAAATTTGTTACAATTTTTTTAAATTATTTTTTATATCTAAGATATATGATATAATTAAAACACATTATATTGTATGTTTTCATAATTATTTATTCATTTATTATATGTATAATAAAAATATAAAATATTAATAATATAGTTATTTAAATTAAAATAATATTATATTATTTTTTAATATAATAAAAATCTCTTAATATTTAATTTAAATAAAAAATAATATATATATATATATTTAAATAGAATTAATATACATAAAATAAATTAAAAATATATACTCTTTATCTTAATTAATGTTCTTACCTATTATGAATGTCAAATATTTTGTGAATAATATATTTTTTGTTACAGAAACGAAATCTTATAAGAATATTAAAACTAACATTATACATAAATTAGATATGAAATTGAAAATGTGTATGTGTGTATAGGTGAGTACCCTAGTGAGCACCAGCATTATTCTTCTGCTTCCTCCAACCGGAGATCCCTCTGCCGCCGTCCCACCTCTCACGGCGAACCTCCACCGTTTCTGCGCGTCTCAGCCGATTGGTACTATTTCATCTCTTCTCATTGTTTCAAGCTTACTTATATTTGTTATTTAGCGTAGCATCTGGTTATAATATTTTGCAATTTTACTGTTCTGCCTGATTCGACGTCCTAGCCTAGTGATTCTGCACCATTCATAGATACAGTGGGTGATTTTGCTTCACAATGAAGTAGTAAAAGTGATGAAATATTTATTTCTTCACTGATTATACAGCTTCTGTGGGGATTTCAATCAGCTCTAGCATATCCTGTATTTGAGCTTACCAATGGCTGATGGTTCCGGTAAAGCGATTGAAAATGGTTCTTTGAACCCAACAGAAGCAGAGAAGCCAAAGATTGAGCCCATAAGACTGCCCTCGGTTGAGGAAATCCGTGGTCAGGACATTTGGAACAATTGTGCAGTGCGCAGTGTCGTCAGTGGAGTCATGGGTATGTCATTCAATCATCACTTTTTTTTCCTAATACTTACCACTGTGTTTTGTTTCTTTTTCCTCTGATTAACTAAGTTTCCTCAAATGAATGTGAACCTCTTATCATCAAATGTTCATGTGTAGCCAGTGTCTTTGTGAGATTTCAGCGCCATTTACAACCCTTTTTCATTAGGATGTTCTTTCCACGAGTACCTTCTAGGTACATAGTATGATGAACAGCTATAAGCTTGGAATTTTAGGATCATGCATAGGTTGACTCACTATTATCATGTTTGTGAGACAAGTAGATTAATATTTCCATTAGTTTTTTATATGATATATTGGCTAATGTTTCAGTCCATTCTTGGCCTATTTTTGCATGCATATTTTAACTTCAACAGATGCAATTCGAGGGCTCCCTCCATATCAAATATATCATTGAATGAACTTGAGTTTTATTTTTTTTTTCTCCCTTGACTTTGATTGCTGTTGAGATGTATATTATGAATATGTTTTTATTGGGATTCATGCGATGTTCTTTTTTTAGGTGGTGGTATTGGCATCTTCATGGGTTTATTTCTTGGTGCACTGGACAACCCACTGATGCAGGACGAAATGACTGGCAGGCAACAGTTTATATATCAAGCAAAGCAGATGGGTAGAAGGAGTTGGAGCTCAGCCAAAGCATTTGCTGTTATGGGTTTAGTATTCTCAGCTGCTGAATGTGTTGTCGAGAAGGTATAATGGATTTCATCATTTGAGGAATGGGAATATTTCTTTAAATTAAGCATTGTAAGGTTCATTCTTCTTACCACTTGGGTCCTTGATTTTTTTTTTCTCTAGGCTCGAGCAAAACATGACATAACAAATACCGTTGTTGCTGGATGTGCAACTGGAGGTGCAATATCAGCGAAAGGTAACTCTTTTTTCTTTGTTTTTCCATCATGTTATCGTGTCTTTCTTTATATTTATCAAACGAAGAGCATAAATGACTTGGCAAGGCTTGTATAGAACAGACTTAGAGACCTTATACACAGAAATGTGATACATCAAGATTGCACTTTGGGTTCCACAAAGAGAAAAAAACGCACTTTGGGTTCCAGATATATTATTAAGAAATAATGCATATAAAAGTGGTTGTAGAAAACAGGAGAAACTAAACATTGGTCGTAAGGACAATAGATCAGATGGAGATGACTCAATTGCTAGAGGCAGAGATTAAGAAAAACTATAGGCATAGCCATTACAATTTAAATCCTTTGCTGAAGATACCAAAAATTTGTTATAACTACTGGGATAAAATAAAGCATAAAATGAGTATTCTGATCAGTTCCTAAACATAGCTGATACTATCAAGAATTGGTTTAGGTTCTTTAAAGCTTGAATCCTTGCTTAGAAATATTTGGAATAACAGTTATTTCTGCTTATCTCAACTGAAATGTTAGCTGCAAGGTAGAAGGCACTTGTCCAAGCCATTTCCACTGTTTTAGGATGAGTCTGATGAATGGGTTCTGGGAATGGCTAAGATAGATGGTAGGTGTGAGTGATGTTGATGATGGGTGGACCAGCTCAAGGGTGATGTAATGCATGCAAGTGCTTGATACTCTCGTGTGCCTTCGGAAACATACATACAGTTTAAGAAAGCCGCTTGAAACTACTTGTACAATATTCTTATTAAGGACTCCTTGCCAAGGTGTAAAGGCCTTGATGGTGTACAGTACACCATACAGTTAAAAAATGGCCTTCTGAATGAATAGTTGCCTTACCTATGTTAGAGCTGCCCCCTATAGAGGAGTGCGGTAACAGGGAGACGTCCTTGGAGATCATAAGGTGGTGTCTCTGACCAAACGCCCGCAAGAGGTTTTTCTTCTTTGGGGAGCCTTAACAACAATTGCCTTAATTAATTATACACACGTCAATTTTTAATTTGTTCCGTCTATTCCTTTTCAAAGTAGTTTTGTAGTTTAGTAGTTTAATGTTCTTTTATTCTGTAGATAAAAATTGGAAATCATAGAATACACTTTGCAAAGCACCAATTGAATAGATTTTTTGACAGTAGTACCTGGGGGGGCCATGTAAAAAGTGATCGATGTAATGAAAAAGGAATAGAGGGAGAGAGGCATATTAAAAAGATAATAATGAACCAGCAAACCAAGAATAGAAAACTAAAACTTACTCCTTATGAACCTGTTCTCTTCCTTTATTTTCCCTTCATGATGTATGTTAAAGTTTACCTTATTGTGTGACGTGGTTATAGGTGGCCCAAAAGCAGCATGTGCTGGTTGTGCTGGCTTTGCGGCATTCTCCGTCGTAATAGAGAAGTTTTTGGAGAGCCATCAGTAAGTGGATTGACGCCATCCTAACACATTTTTTGAGTTCTTGGTGAAGTCTTTTGCCCATTTTATAAGGGACGTGATTGAGGAGCACACAAACTGAAGCATTTATTTTACATCAATAATTTATTTGTATACCATATTAAATGCATTTCCAAGCTGGGGAAAGCTCTGATGTAATGATATGATTTTGTATTAAGCAATTTAAGTAGTTGTTTTCTTTATGCATTCGTGTGTCTTTCTCTGATGCATTCACCGTTGTCATCATATATTTTGGTGAAAAAAAATATTAATTTGGAGGCTCGCTACGATAGAATAGTGTGAACTGCATCGAATATGCAATTGAGCTCCTAATATGGTTTTCAAAGTTCACCAAAAATAGTACGTGGTTGTCAATTGTTAACAAACTTGTACAAAATCAGACAAAATTTTGAGAAATTAAAACATGATTTGAGATCCCGTCTTGCAAATGCCTGGAGAGGATCAGTATTTCTGAATTAGACTAATCTCATTTTCATTTTTAATTATAGAGAGATTGTGATACTTGGAAAAGGCTGACCATAGATGCTGGTGAAAAAGGGAATGGTAAAGGAAAATTTGAATAAACACGTTCTCATTAGTCATTACATATCCCACAACTCGACCACACAAGTTATCCTGATGAGGAGATATATGCAACTATGAATAACTAGCGTAAAAACAATATCCATGGACGCAACTGTATTTCCTCAGGACAAGGTACAGGGTATATATTGGACTTCATGAAGTCTCAAAAAGAATTACTACACTGAGGCTCTCCAGTTTTATTTTATTTCTACAATACAGTTAGTTATTCGACGTTTACGACCCAACTTTTCAAAAATACACTAATAAGCTCATATAATATAACCCAAACTTCACACACACTCGTTTGCAAATTATAGGATCAGGCTTGTTTTGCTGCAGGATTGGAAGGTTGACCATCCTTGGCTGCCTCTTGAGGTTCAGGTTTGGAGGGTTCATTAACTGTGGTGGCCACTTGAGTTTCAGATTTGGAGGGTTGATCAGCTGTGGCGGCCTGTTGAGGTTCAGGTTTGGAGGATTCATTAACTGTGGTTTCTTGTTTTAAGGTTTGATCAGGTTTGGCGGTTTCAGACATGGTGGTTTGACCTCCTACAGTCTTTCCTTGATTATCCTGCGCCAAAACCTTCTCCTTAGTTTTCTGTCCCACTTCCTCAGCTGCCTTAGCAACCCTGTTGTAAGCACCTGTGACCCATGTAGCCCCAGTCAACACATAGCGATTCTTCATTATGGCAGATCCAGCATTAGATACTGACTGCTCAGCTACTGAAATTGCAGATTTGGTCTTCTCAGAGACTTGATATTTCTCATCCATCTGTTTCACCTTGCCATTCACCAGAACTGTACCAGCACTGATCTTTTCAGTAAAACCAACCTTCTGGTCCAAAGAAGCAACTTTTGCTGAGGCCGTGGAAGTGAGCCTGTGCCTTTCATCAAAGGATTTTGCTCGATTCATTGCATCTTTGCCTAAAATGAAGCCCTTGGCTAGCATGCTGGATACAACATCCTCTGCCTTCCTCAAACCAGATTCCTCACTCTCAGCACTACTAGTCTGTGTTGCCTGGTCAGAATCATTAAACTATAAATTGTCTGACATGGTTGTCCGCATTATACAGTCACCAAATAAAATGAGCGAATCACTTTCTGACAGTTTGTTGAAAACATTATTTATTATAAGTTCAAGTTTATTAAAAATCACAAAAACTTGTGATACACTTTTTTGTAATGAGTTTCATTCGCAATTTTGTGGTTTTCAATAAGTTTTAACCAATAATAATCATGTGTTAGAAGAAAACTTATTACTTGATCTGAGATTGCCATGGTCCCAACTCCCAATTAATCACCAAACAGTATGTACTCGAGTTCTATTAATTTTTTTGTTATAAATTAAATTTCTTTACTGCATATTATGTAGAGATTAGTTGCGATCTCAGACACATGATGGTCATAAATATAGAATGAGTAGCTCTGTATTAAAAAATAAGAGGGAATAGTTACTGCAGATGTAGCCGAGGTAGATAGAGCATAATCCTTAGCCAAATCTATGTTCAGAGACTGTCCAGACACAACTGCTCCCTGGAGTCACCAACACAAGTTTCATGTCAGCCCTAAACTAAAACATGAATTTAATTTGCCATAGTTAATGCTTTCCAAAGAAGAAAGAGAGGATATTGTATTAGTAGGTAAGTATTTGGCAAATAGAGAATATTAACGGTTTGAAACATTAATACCTCAATTTGTTTAATCTATCTGTATCTTGTACCAATATTGTTTTTCATACTTTATCAACACGTTTAGGTGAAGCATTAACATATATTACAAATTATGAAAATCTATTAGATTAAATATATGATATGTATATAATATTGAAACATGAAACATTGTTTATTGATTAATGAAAAATGAACATTGTCCTCATTGATAAGTTATTTCAAAAAGAAATTGATAGTACTAAATAATCTATGATAATAATACTCAAGAAACATGTTTAGAATTTGGATTTGCAAAATTTAAATTATTGGATAATTGTATATATCTATCTGTATGTATGATAAGAACAAAATTAGACAGAAGGCAATGAGACTGATCTACCGAGAGAAGAACTGCAGTTTCTGCTCCCTCTGAAGTACTGAAGGTAACATACGCGACTTGGGGACTTCCTTTGTCACTGAAAATGAGAGATATCATATGCTGCATATTAATGGCCTGATCGCATAGACAAATAAAACACAGATAATGGAATTGATATTATATATACAAACCCTTGCATTTCAATATGTTCAATTTTTCCCGGAAAGGTAAGAAATTCCCTCAAATCTTGCTCGGTTGTACCTGAAGAGATGTTGCTCACTTTCACCGTTCTCACCTGTTTAACAAACAGAAAAGACAAATAGATAACCAATTCCAATACTAAAAAAAGACTGAAAAGGATTAAATCATATCACACAAGACTCAGATCGATAAGCTCATTCAAAATGGCATGGATTCTTACATTCTTACCAGATCCACAACATCAGAATCATCAACCTTATAACAAGATGTCCTTAAATTTGTCCCTTTCAATTATAAACAAAATCATGCAAGAAAGTAATGATGGAAGAGTCGTGCAACTAACCATTATAGCTGGTTAATTAATTGTTTGAATCCTATGCCAGAGATTAATCTTTCCCCAGAGAAGAAGAAGATGTGGTTTGGAGTTTTGGTAACGGAATTAATAATGGTTATTTACGTAAGAGTGAATATTTTGTGTGTTTTTCTTTTCCTCCTTTGATGATGAAATCTATTTATTGATTTATAGTATATAAATTTAGGTTGAGATGACGTGAGAGAAACATATGAGCAACATTGTACTCACAAAAATTGCCACATCAGTTGTTTCGACTTTGTTCCCTCTCACCAATAACCTGACACCTGTTGCAGATATATTCTTAAAAAATATTATGATGAACATGAACAAGACACGTGGTATTTTTCTTTTTTTACTGTATGAAAACTCTACTCTTTTTATTATTATTATTATTATTATTATTATTATTATTATTATTATTATTTTCCATTTGATCAAAACACACACAAAAGTGCAAGAAAGTTTGTAATGATGGGAAGAGAGCGTCTGCAACTGCAAACAGTTGCTGAAGTTAACACAAAAAAAGGAGTAAACAGCTTAGCAATTCCATCTCTCTCTCTCTCTCCCTGTCTCTGCATTTGTGTTGCTTTCTGCATAAAGTGCATAGGGTGAATTTTCGAATTCAATTAATTGTTTTTTTATTTTTTATAATAAGGATTCAATCATTATTTTGCAAATTACGAACTAGTAAATTGATTTTCAAATTTCTTACCTCTAAATTCCACCATAGACATTTTTCCTAATTACTACGAATATGGTCCTAATGAGTTTAACTTAATCAATGCATCCATTTTTAAATGAAAAAGATTTATTTGTTTAATTCTTTATTCTGTATACTTTTTTTTTAAAATAAAACATGTGATATAATAGAATTGATTAATATTTAAAAACATTAAAAATTATGGGTAATATGATATAAATAAATACATCAATTTTTAAAAAATGAGTATAATCGTGAACATGGGAAATCTTATTTTTATACAAAATAAATATACTATATAATGACTTGCAGTGAGTATTAGCAGAATGTTAAATATTATATATATATATATATATATATATATATATAATATATTGAAATTTATAAAAAAAAATTAAATAATTTTGATAGCACTGTCATAGAAGTAGACATTCAATAATACAACATCATTGTTTGTGAATGTTTTATATATATTTCTGATTACGAGTCACAAGCGTGGTTAATTAAAGAAACAAAATAAGACTCTAAATTTCAATTTATAAAAATATGTTTTTGTTGAATTCTCTTGGTGTTCTTCTGCTATCATTTTAAAAGACTTAATCTTTTTTTTATCTTGATCTTTTAGAAAAATATAAGACAACTATATATTAGGTTGTGAAATCTCTCTAAAAAAAATTATTTGCTCGAATAGTAAGGGTTAAAACTTGAATCAACGTTAATACAAAAACAAGATTGATAGTGTTGAGAAAGATAAAATGGTATATATTTAATTCTGCATTAAAAGCTCAGAACATGAACGTAAACAAAATATTAAAAGTTACATGGACTAATGTGTCGTATTGAAACAAATGATGCTTTACTGAAACTACTGTGTCCTGGTAAACTCTCATATCTTCTGTTAAGAGGTAGCGTTGTGGGTGCAATTTGAGTGCAATGACATTTGAAGTTTTTCTCATTATTGCAAGCGGAGAATCACCTTAATCTCCAATATTGGAAGCAGAAATGGCACATCAAAATGGAGGTACAAGTCGAATTCTTGAACAATTTATTAGCTCACAACTTCATTCAGACTAACTCTACCTTTTATGCCAATGTCAAGAGTTTGTAAACCAGACTCAGCAACTCAGGAAACAATACTTTAACTTGATGGTACGAACATATGTGCCATCTCTACTTTGGAGAACGCGTTGGTGTGTCTGGCATATCCATGTGATCAGAAACCTCCATAACCAATGGATTAACGTCTGTTTTGGGATTATATTGTTGGAAAACTATTACTGATGAAAAGGTGGAGAACTCAGAAGTAGCCAAATAGCTTCCAATGGGACCAAGTTCGGGACAATCACTTGTGAGTACCAAAGGTGCCACTTGTGGCATTCTACCAACCAAAACTAGATTGCTCTTGTTCTTCTCCCTCAATACTGCTATAACATCTTCTTTTCTTTCTACCATCCTTTCCTCGTACATTGTTGAGTCCACGTTCTTGCAGCACAAACTCAGGAACTCAGACCAAAATTTTTCATCCTCTTGTTTTTCTTCATCATAACTTGTACCTTCAGCCACATCTATTACCTTCCTGTCCTTGTTGGCTGTTATACCAATCAATTTGGCACCAAAGGCGAATGTCTTCCCAGGTGCAGCTACAAACTTCACAACAGTGAGTGAAATCCCAGGGTGTTCAGCCAGTCTTATCCCATATGCAAGTGCTTCACGATCATCTCGTCCTCCAAAGAAGCATACCACAACCTGGTAGGACACATCACTAGCTTGGACTTGGCTTGTCCCTCCAAGGCCACGATCAACCAAAATTCCCACAGAGCAAGGAGCATGGCTAAGCACAAGGCCAGTCATTACATGCAGTGAGTGTCCCAGTGACTCCATTGTCCCATCAAAACGTTGGTGTTTGTGGAAAGGGAGGATAATCATTGCTGCTCGCTTTTGGTGTGCACTAGTACAGATGTCTTCATGGATATTGCTGAAGGCCGATATGGCTGTCATGGGACGAACGTTGACACTACTCAGATGGCCATAAGCCTGAAATGCAATGACCATTTGATCTCTATTGTCATGCTTTTTGTTCCAAAAGGGCATGCCATTGTTGCGTGCGGTGTGAACCATTGTGATGGCTGAAGGTCGCTCTGAGAGTTCCATCAAGTGCATTGCATACACACACAACTTTCCTCGCTTTCTGGTTCCCCGGGATGACTCTATTAGATTGATTAAGGTGGGAATGTTGCAGGTACTGTGGAAGCATGCCAACACTCGAAGCTCTGTGTCAGGATCTTTGCGTTGAACAGTTTTATGCGTGTAAGGTGATCCCGTGCGAGCTGGTTTATACACTGCCATCACTAATGGGGTGGTGATGAAAGTGGTGACCAGTGCCATTAAAACACAAATTGCAAATGTCTGGTCATTCAGTACCTGCACATTTTCCAGGAAATAAGATTGATAAGTTCCCATTACAAACTAGATTAATTGCGTTTCTAACGAGAACCAAATCATATGTGCATGATTTTACAAGATACCTTCCGATCCTTGCCAATGTTGAGAACAATGAGCTCCACCAAGCCCTTGGTGTTCATGAGAAATCCAAGAGCCAAGGCTTCTCTACAAGGCACCTTACATAACAATGACACAACGAATGTGCCAACGATCTTTCCAAAGCAAGCAGTGAATATAACAAGCACTAGCATACCCCAAGAAACTGCTCCACGTATAGTTGTCACATCAGTCTTCAAACCGCTGGACACAAAATAGAGTGGCAATAAGAGACCCATCACAAGGTCCTCTATCTTCTCGATCAACACCCCAGCAAAAGGACCATCCTTGGGCATAACAATGCCAACCACAAAAGCCCCAAAGAGTGCGTGAATGCCAATAGTATCAGTGACAAAACTGCAAACCAGGACTAGTGTCAAGGTGATGCATATGTAGATCTCTTGCACTGGTTCACCCTCAGGGGAACGCTTGGCCATTAATGTAAGTAAGGGTTTTATGACAAACATAGCAAAGAGGACAAAAGCAGTAGCACAAAGCATGACCCATAACGGAACAAGTGAGGATGTGTCAGAACCAGAGAGAGCTATGGCAAGAGCAAGCAGTATCCATGCTGCAACATCATTTACAGCAGCTGCCGACATTGCGATGCGACCAGCATCAGTTGTGAGGAGTTTTAGCTCGGCTAGGATACGGGCAAGGACGGGAAAGGCAGTGATTGAGAGGGCAACACCCATGAAAATAAGGAAGGCGGTTGGATCAACATTTTTGGATACGGTGGCTCGAAGAACAAATGATGTGCCAATGCCAAGTACAAAAGGCAATGTGATGCCAGCAAGGGCAATCATTAAGGCCTTCTTACCAGTTTTCCGTATAGAACGCAAGTCAAGCTCAAGCCCCACCAAAAATAAGAAGAATAGAAGGCCAATATTGGCTACAGTTTCAAGCACAGTTAAGCTTCTCTTAGGGAAAAATGTGTTCAGAAATTTCTCATTCCGCCCAATTGCTGATGGTCCAAGCAATATCCCTCCCTGCACTCATTTTCCAATACACCACATCATCCTTTTCACGAGTTATATATATAACAGGAATTCAAATTGGCCATGATCAAGATTTGTTTGGAGGTTCTGACATTCACACACGTTAAAAGCCAATAATAAAACAAGTGATGCAACAAGCCTTTTCTTTTAAACAAGCAATGCATTTGTTGATCGATTAACGACTAGAAAACGGTAAAGGGTGTAATGGAAACAAAACTTACAACGATCTCTGCAATAACTCTTGGTTGTCTGAGAGGTTTGAAGATGAATGCAAGGAATCTGGTGAACACCACAACCAAACATATCTGAAGGATTAATAGGGGAACCGCATGGTCCAAGGGATTTTCATGTTGGAACGCCCCATTGGAGGTGGCCTTCATTGGTGAGGGACATGATGCATTAGGAGTGGCCATTTGGATTGATTCAGATTTGAGAGTATGAATTGAAAGACAACACTTGATCTGATTAAGCATCGTTCTCATGTTTTAAATATGTATATATTTAGTGTTTGTGTGTGTGCTGTGTGAGTGAACTGAAAACATGGATCCGAACAAAGAAAAAAAAAACAGTTACTAATTATGGTACGTAGCTGAGGCAGATAAACATGTGAGAGAGATGAATTGTGAACACACACTATCGCAAATTCTGCTACATGGTGATTGGAAAAGTAAACGAAGCTTCGATCAGTTCACTCATTTACTATATATACATATAGTCTTTTTTTTCTTTTTCTTTTTTTCACTTTTATCACCATGGCTATGCTATGTCTTCTTCAAGGAGCAAATATTATTCAAACCATGGCTTAAATAAGTTTTTAGTTATTTAAATTTTGGATGAGCATCATAAGACATTCCACAAGGGTAATCAAAGATATTAAATTATAAATATTTTGTCATTTTTTTCTACTAATTAACCATTAAATCAATAAATGTGTGGTAAGAACAAAGTGATTTAAAACAAAGATTTCATTAAGATAGATTCTTTTAACTGAGATTTATCATCAACAGAAATAAAATTAAAAAAGTATTAAGTATCAATAATATGAGAAGAAAAATTGGAACTTTATTTATTTCTTCACAAAACCCAACTTGTATTTTTCTTTGTAAAGAAAGTAAAAACGTGATGAAAAACATGAGACTAGTAAAACATTAGATACTTTTGCTAGAGAATAATCAACCACATTATATTCTTTGAAACTTGAGTTTAAAATTTGTATTTAAAAATATATTTTTCTGCCTTTTATCAAGAATTATTTCAAATTCAAACTCATAAGACAGCAAAATGGTATCTCATATAAATTCAAAGTATACTTTTAAAATATATAATATCACAAATAATATTATTTTTTGTGTTTTAAGAATATTTTAAATTACAAGAAAGAACATTAAGCTATAGAAGTTTTAAATTTTATTTTTTTATTAATTTTTAATAAAATGTTCAACTTAGAAGAGTTTATATCGCATATATAAAACTTGCACTTATTATTAAATAATCTTTAACTTTATAATAAAGCAAAGACTATTTGATAAAATTTTAATGAAAAGTACAATTCTTTGATTAAAAATTCGAAAGGAATTTCAGAACTATAAACTATATAAAATGTTAAAAAGAAAATGATCAGTAAAACTCACAAATTATACGTCCTTAAAATAAATTTAATTTATATATATATATATATATACTAGGATAACATAAACGTAGATCTAACTCTGTCTCGATTTGGTCGTCAGTTATAGTTATAGTCATGACGGACAAGTAAACCTTACCCGTTCAGTCAAGGGGCTGGTTATGGTCGATCCGCCATAATTTAGAAAAAATAATTTATTTTTTAAAACTAAAACTTTCAATAAATTTAATAATAAGATTATTATTTGTTTGACAATAATTCAATATATATATATATATATATAATTTCAATTTAATAATATAAATCAATACATTATAATTTAGAACAATAATAAAATTTATATAATAATAAATAATAACAATATATATATATATATATAAATAATGTTAAAACTTATAAAATTTATATTTTTATATTGAAAAATTCAAATACCTATATCTTTTTTATTTGATAAAACTTCACATTATTCTCGTTTGAATAATTCTTACACCTTTAATTCAAGTTATAAGGATAAAAATAATGAGTGTTTAGGATGAAAAGGAGAACATGAAAAAGAAAATTGTGTTTCAAGTAAAGAGAATATTTTCTATGAAAGTGACAGAGCTTGATGGACAGTTAAAGTGGCATTGCAGTTAAAACACCAAATTCTACCTGCCATATCATGATGTGTTGGCGGACCGACCACGGACCTTAATAAATTATTGCATACTTAATCATATATAATATTTATATTAATTTTTAGACTTAAATATTCTTTTTAGTTTATTTGGATAACACTTTTCATAAATATTTAAAAAAAGGAATAAATAAATTTCTTCATAACTTAAAATTAGTTTATGTATAAATTAATTTGTAGATTTTTTTGTCTAATTTCTTTATATTTTTATTAAACTAATTTTAAATTTTCTTCATTTAAATTACTTATAAAAAGTTTCATATGAATAAACATTTTTATCTCTAATAAAATATCGGATTTCGTTTTCAACATTTTTATTATCATTTCCATCATTAATAAAAATTTATCAAGTTACAGATACTTTTTTTATTTAGGAAAAAGACAAGAAAAATTGTAATCTTCCAGGAACTAACACATTTTTAAGGATAATTTCTAATAAAAGAAATTCTCAAAAAAATTTAAAAAGTTTATTTATATTTTCTTAAAATGAAGAATTTGTCGCACTGGTTGGATGTAGTGTATTTTTGCAAAAGTCTTTACCTTTCTGGCCTGCAATCATTGCTTAACCACAAAGCTTTCTTCTCCCATTCTTGTCGTGGCATGATTCACATCTTCAAAACCTCATAATCATAGATTCTGAGCCTGCAACCCCTAGTCTTCACATTCACCACATGGATACAAACTCTGCAAGATTCTATATATTTTCGTAGACAGAGTCACATAGAGCATATCATAAACATTTCATAATATTCAAGCAAGTTTTTGCTCCAAGATGATTGGCAAACTCGAGCATGAGCAAGAGCTGCACGTGCCAGCGAGTGAGGCATGGGATCTGTTTGGCACCCTTCGAATAGGGCAACTTGTAGCCCAAGAGCTTCCACAGCTGTTTCAGAGTGTTGAGATAACAGAAGGAGATGGAGGGGTTGGCACTGTTCTCAAATTAACTTTTGCTCCAGGTGATTATCATCTTATGCTGAATTGGGTTAATTGTGTTGTTATTGGAAATTGGTTAATTGTCGCAAAGTTCAATTCTTGAATTTAGGCATATGCTGATTGATTGAGAGTATCTGTCATTTGATAGTCCTGAACATGTTTGTATAAACGTTTACTAAGATTTAAGGTCATGATGTCACACACTGATTTGTTATAGTTGATGTTTGAATAGGTGTGCCTGGGCCAGGTGATTACAAAGAGAAGTTCACCAAGATTGATAATGAGAAGCGTATAAAAGAAACAGAGGTGGTTGAAGGAGGGTACTTGGAGTTAGGATTCACTCTTTTTAGGGTTCGTTTTGAAGTGATAGAGAAAGGTGAAGAGTCGAGCATATTCAAAGGTACCATTGAGTATGAAGTGAAGGAAGAGAATGCCTCCAATGCCTCAATTGTCTCTATCCAGCCAGTGGCTACCACAGCTGAACTTGCCAAGAATTACCTCCTCAAAAACAAGGCTTCAAAAGAAGCAAGTCAGTGATAGTTTGCCACCAAATAACAATAGTCACAAAACAAAGGAATACTCACTCAGTCTTGTGACTTTGCCTAGTTCATCACCAGCTTACATTATTTTCATATCAGAGTGTATTGTTCTCTATAGATTGATATAACATGAGAAGCTTGTATCCTATGAAATAAGAACTTGGTGCTACCAAATGCATTATGTTGATCACTACATTCATCAACCTAATTATCAATCAGAACATACAACCTAGGGTTGGACTATGTTGGATAAATCATGACTAGCATTTGTTTACACAAGATAATAAGTTTTAGCACTTTGAGCTTCAAACTAGTATTCGTAGAAACAATGATAAAAGAGGAAGAAACGAATAAGGTCCTCAAGCTCTCTGACCCTCTTTTTCCCCTGCTTCTCTGAATTTCGCTCCCTTCGTTTCTGCACTTTTTTCATAAACTTTGTGAGAAGGAACATAAAAGCAATGACTGGTTTCGAATGTCTTTTCTTCATTTTATCTGATCTATGCAAACTAACTTAGACTCATTCACGCAATGGTTAATGTTTCGGGTCTGAAGTTCTTTAAGCTACGTAGTTGGAACTTTAAGCTAATTAATAAAAAACATTTGTAGAGATTTCACAATCACATCTTATTGAGGAAAATGAGAGACCCTTTTGAAAAATTAACCTAATTAATAACACCTTCAACTTCATGAATGAATTTAGGTACGTATTTACTCTAGGTAAATCTTTTTGTTTGACAAATGGTTTCTTTTACCAACTCTTACCACAATGAAGGGTTATGACGGATCCAAGATTTTGTTGGACTAAGAAGTTAAACAACTAAACCACAACCAACCTCTTGCACTAATCCTTAACATATTAAAGTATTTACTTTCCCTAACCAAGAAAAAACTAAGAGAAGGTGGCTTGTAACTTGTAACGATGGATGATGAGGTAATGGTGGAGAAAATCCCCGGCAAGTTCTACCATCCATTTAACCCCCCAATTGACTATTGTAACCACCATGATGCCACTTCTCTAATGCTCTCATATCATAATACCCTAACAAACAATGCACAGAGAGACATGGCTACGATTCATTTGTTTTAGCATCACTTGTTTTAAGTTTTGGTTAAATTCGATTTGCTAATTTCAATCGCAAATTTTATATTAAAATGTGTGTTTTATTAATTTTTCTTATGTATTGTCAAATTCAAAACTAGATTTTGATTCATTTTTATTTGTGTGGACATTTCTCAATGAATTAAGAGATGAAAGTGTTTACTTGACCTAATGTAAAATTTTTTAATTTTAGAAAAAAAAAACTTTCAAATGAACACTTGAATAAATTAAAAGATGAAAATTTTTACATGTTACTCTTGATCTTAACCACAATATAACTATTTTGAATATATATTATCAACCCAATTTATTGAGCAATATTTTTATTTAAGAAGAATTTTTATTTTCTTCTTTTGGTATTCGAAAATAATTTATTATAAACATAATAGTTTATTATGAATTTCAAACATTATACTAACACAAGTGACATTTATATCTATCAACAATAGCAATTATGCTCGTTTTTTTTTTAAATTAGTATAGAAACAATAATAAGATTAAAAAGAAATATGTCTAAGCTATTGTTATAATTGTTTAATAATTTCAACTTAGATAACTACATCAATTACTCTCTTTTTAGAATTGTAAACAATTTTTTTTTAATATCTAATATCTAATTGTAAACAATTATAAAATTCTAATTTTATAATTATTTAAAATTGTTATAATTATAAATATGAGCATAACAATAGACCCAAAAACTTATTTGTGTCCTATTTTTATATTATTTTTTTTTCACTCCCCTCTTTATACATTCTTTTTTATTATTTATTATATTTTTTCTCATCTTTTCAAATACATTATATTATCCTAATTATTGTTCTTATATTGTGTCTCCGATATTCATCATTAACATAATACAAATAATTATATTTTATTTGATAAAAAATAATATTATTTTATAAAAAATCATTTTGAAAAAAAGAAATCGGTATAGATAATTATAATTCAGCTTGTTTTACTGGATAAACATGAATTTCGTGAAATGTTTCAAGGAATGTTTCAAAAATATTTTTCTTAATTTCATCAATAATTTTTATTAGAGATTTAGTGTGATATGATAGTCTTTTGAATAGTTAATCTATGATATATAAATCAACATTTCACCCTTCACGATATTCTGTATATAATGTATTTTAGGAATGTTATTGTAAAATCGAAAGTTTTTTATAAAATAAGTTCATGAGGTAGTCAATCATTCACTTTAATTTGGTGGTCGATGAATTCATGTTTCTTCATTTGAGGTGTATTCAACATGTCTGTAAAAGACATTTCATACTCAAGTTAGATAAAGATATTAGCACAAAGAATATTCGTAATTAATGAACAATCAACATACCTCGAAATCTATATCTATTTATACTACATTAGTTGGACTTTATTAATGGACTTTAGCTTCTTGGCTTTAATTGGAAGCTTTTAGTCACCAATCTACAATGAAGAGACCTAGTTGCATGACTAAGTATATACATGTGTAGATCTTTATGCCTTATTCGGAAGTCTTTGGTTACCACTCTATAGCAATGACGAATCTTCTTGGGAGTTGAGGGGGGTCGTGTCCTCCCCCCCAAAGTTTTGTAACTCTCATGTAATTTATGATTTTGGCTCTCCCAAACTTAATGAACATTTAATATATTTACTTGTATATTTACAATTTTATCCTCTCAGCCCCTCCTCACTTTTGTAACTCTCATATAATTTATGATTTTGTCCTCCTAAAACTTAATGATCATTTAATATATTTAAGTATATATCTACAATTTATCCTTTCACCTTTTCATCTTCTTTCTTTCTTTTATATTTATTTATTATTTATTAATAATATATTATTTGACCCCCCTAAGATCAACGGTCAAGATCCGCCACTGCTCTATAGTAAGGAGACCTAGCCGCATGACTACAGTACATGTGACTAGGTTTGTACATGTGTAGATCTTTGTGATTATATGGGTACAATACATTGATCCCCCAAGTTCGAAAGAGTTGTTAGTGATGGAGAAACTAAGAAAGTTTTCCTTCTTTGATCTGGACCTTGCCGAGGAAAAGGTGATGATGAGTCAAAGGAATATGCAAAGCATAAATGGGCCTTCACACAATTTTCTATGCTACAATGATGACAAGGTAGCTTGGATGTGATGTTCTCACAGTTTGGTTTGGCCATTGAAATAGTGATGTTGGAGGATTATGATGGTTTGACGCTTTGACTTGGGGATTGACTTCTTTTGCTAGGATGACAAGTTGTGTTATGCTACCTTCCAAGAGTAGATTTAATCGTTAAGTTGTCATTAGGTAAAGATGTCTTCTAGTTCTTTTTTTACTACTATCGAAGAGCTTTCGAGTAGGACAATCGAAGATCCTCAAGAGATATTGAGTAGGACTCAAGGGGATAGTTTGGACAGTAATGTAACTATTTCCACTTCCAATGGTTTTGCTTGTTAGACCAAGGGTGATGGTAGAAACCTTTCAAAAATAGACGAGAATGCTCAAATTGTCGTGGAGCGCATTGAAACTAGGTTGCCCTTGAGAGAAGGTTACTCCTGGTTGTTCCTTGTGTGAAGAGTTATTTTCCTAAGTATTGATGATTGATTGTTCTAACTTCCTTTGTTGCAAGTTAGTGTATGGTTCAGGGAGATGGTAATGTTATTGACAATGTATGTCATGGTGTGCGATTTCCATGTACTTCTATCTTGTTAAATATTTGCATGTGTGATTTCCCTTCGACAAATTCAACACGAGGAGTGTTGAATGTGACACCAACCTAGCTACATCCTAATAGTTAGGTCGTGTTACAAGCATTCAGGTTGGTGTGTGAAATTTTTAATTTGCAACCCACTCCATTGACTTTCCTTCATCATTTTAGCACTTGACTAGGTAACGTTGTTGGTTGGCTATCCCTTATAGGCCAGCCTTCCAACACGTGATCCGAGTCATACATACATCTTGTCTTTCAAAAACTTTAAGACAATGTTTTTTAAGGTACAGGTGGATTTATGATCCAATTAGGTATCGTCATTGGCCATAGACCAAGATGTCTTCAGCGGACATCTAGACACTCGACGTTCTCAACAAGCTTCCCTGATGACTACTTACTCGAAAGCTTATCGACATGTATTTAATCTCTATGGTGTCAAAGTGATATTTTTGGTATAGTGTTATTCTCAACTAATTATGTGATTGCGCTATTGTTTGTTTTATTGTATATGTCATGGATGACGTTTTTCCAACAGAGAAAAGTTTGTTTCAATAGCTTAGGTAGGAGAACAATCCTCCAATACCACCAAGGGAAAAGGTGTGGTGGGGAGGCTTCGGCGGGGAAGGAGGTTCCATCTAATTGACTTCTCCCACTCGTTGATGAAAGGTGAAAGCACAAGCAACAAGAAGGCATGTGTCCAGTAGGTTGATTTCTCTCCAAGAGCATTCGCCAAAATGCTCTCGGTTGTACTAGACAAAAGTTGACTATAGTAAATTTTTTGGGAGACAACTTGCAAGTTTCCACAAGGTGAACGTGATCCTGACATTCACCGAGAGAGATCTATGTCTCTGCCCAACCTGTCACGTTGGGGAAGGCTTTTATGGAACTACAAACACATGCAATATTTATTTGCAAACACATGTGTGATGATTTGGGGTTTACTAGTGGTTCGAACTTTCAAAGTTTGAAGCGAGAGTTGGCTGAGTCGAAGAATGTGCTATAAGATACTTTGGACTCCAACACAACCTTAAACAAGAAAGCCCGAAGAGAAGTTGACAACCACGACAACCAAGCGTGCTAAGTGACGCACCAAGTATATTCATGCCAAGAAACAAGAGATTTTACGACAACAATTGAACTCGGTGGAGCAAACCATAGTCAAGATGACACTAGTCCACAATGAAGAGGTGGAAAGCAGGGATGCCATTGAAAAATCATGGGTGACCAAAAACAATATATTATGGGTGAACATATTGAGGGTTTTAAGAAGGCTTTCCAACAAGCCAAACAATTGTTTGGAATGTCCTTGACTGACGATCGATTTAATATTGATAAGGATGTATGCCAGGATTGTTTGGTCACTTTGGAAGACTTGTCAGATGACGAAAAGTCCTGCCAGGATGTGGAAGCCGATAACCCTCGAGTAGATTTAGTTTCTAAGTAGCATATTTGTGATCATTGTTTTAGGGTACCAAGTTATGACCTAGTAATTTTTGTTTATGGTAAATATGTATTCACACTTGTCTTAATGAAATAGCTATTACTCAGTTATGTGTATTGTTGCTTTTTAGCCACGTGGTTCTTGGTTGCGTGGTTATTGTTTATTACTTGGAGGGATCATTTGTGGTTAAATGATTCTTCCTAGGCTGAGGTTGCATGTGGTAGTTCATTCTTGGTTAAATGAATTATTTTGCCTTACTTGTGAGAGTTTATTCTTGATGGAATGTTTCTTCTTTGGACGAGGTCTTTGGGTGAAGGATCATTTTCGATTGAATGATTTTCATTCGCAGTTTGCTTTGGAGGTGTTGTCATGCATTGGTGAAAAATCACTTTCGGATACACAAGTGTTTTAGGGAAATAACATTACTAAGTGTCTCGTTAAAACCTCCCATAGAAAAACCCTCCTTACGGCAAATTCCAAGAGTAGGAAAAAGTTCACTGTTACAAACCATTATCTCAGTTGTAATAGAACATTAACAATCTTGCGATCCACGTTCTTGACATTGGTTTCCCTGGAAGGTGCTCTATTCGGTAAGCTCTATTTTGTAACGATTGTGCTATTCAAAATGGACCTTCCCAATTTGATGCAAATTTTCCCTCCTTGGGTTCTTCTGTGTGTTACTTTTGATGCATAATTCTTGATCTCCTTCTTTAAATGACCTTGGTCTAACCTTTGTTAAGTATCTCCTAGCTACCCTTTCCTTTATCGTTGCCTCCTAGATTTATACCCTTCTTCGCAACTCCTCGAGCAAGTCGAGCTCAACCTCATGCACTCTTAATTCTCAACTTCACTGACCGCCTCTCTTGCAAGGTTCAAGCAACAATCAATGCTTCATATTTGACTTGGTTGTTGAATGTTTTGAAATCCAATTACAAAGATTATTTGATTAATACATTACTCGATCCCTCAAAGATGATCCCAACTTCTTCTCCTTTTTGGTTGGAGAAAACGTGTGTATGCAACATCAACCACGAGTGCTCTTCCTCTTCTGGTCATAATTCGTTGATGAATTTTGCCCAACGCGGAGCCTTAACGGACCCTCTTTACTCATATGTGATACTAAACTCCAACAATTCTATGGACAATGCGATCATCATTCTGGCGAGTTCTGACTTCTTGAGTATTTTGGCAATGGGGTAATCAGTGTGAACTATGATGTGATGGTTTTGGAAGTATTGTCACAACCTTCTTGCAGTTGTTAAGATGGCTAAGGTCACTTTCGCGATCAGCTGGTACCGTGTTTCTGGATCTTGCTATGTGCGGCTAACATATTAAATTGGTTTTAGTTTGCTTTGGTCCTTGAACTAGTATGATGGTTATTGTCGTTTCACCCATAGCTAAATACACCAACAAAGGCGCTCCTATAAACTCCTTAATGTCTATGAATATCATTTGCACTGCTCGATCCACTCGAACTACCTTGATTTCTTCAGTAATTGTATGATCAACTTTGTCCTTTTGGTTAGCTTGGGTATGAATCGGGAAAGAGGCATGAGCCTCTCGATCAGTTGTTGTATTTCCTTCACCATTTTGGGGCTTTGCATCTCGATTAATGTTTAACGCTTATCCAGGTTGGCCTCCATTTCTTTGTGGGTTAGCATAAAATCGAGGAACTTACCTACTTCAACACCTAAGACACCCTTTTTTGGGTTGGGTCTCACGTTATACTTTCTTAAGGCGGAGAAGACCTTTGTTAGGTTGGCCAAGTGCTACTGGCAAGAATTCGATTTTACGATCATGTCATCGACATATACTTCAATATTTTTGGCGATAAGATCCTTGAAGATCTTATCCATGAGCCTTTGGTAAATTGCTTCTACATTCCTAAGACCAAAAGAGATTACCTTGTAGCAATAATTGTCGTATAGTGTTACAAATGTTATTCTTTTTACAATAGGCATCGAGGAAGGTTAACACCTTATGTATGCTATCATGCCATCGACAAGTCAATCAATGTTGAACAAGGGATACACATCTTTAGGACAAACTTTATTCTTATTAGTGTAATTTATGCACATGAGTCATTTGCCATTTGCTTTTTTAACTAGCACGACATTGGCTAACCATTGAAAGTCTTTGGTTCCAATACATGTAGATAGATATGTACATGTATAGGTTTTTGTGACTGTATGAATATAGTATAATGAAATTTGTATCATTTATGGTCACTTCTTTATTGTATCATAAGTCTTATTAAAATTAATTTTATTATCAATGTTAAAACAATAGAAAAAAAAACAAAATACATATCTTTAATAAATGTGTTTTAAAATCATATTCATCACTAAATTTATAGAAAACATTATTAAAGACTTAAAACGTCATCTCTTTAATAAAATAATATTTTTATAATATAATAAATTTTCTAGTAATAATATTTTTTATAAAAAAAGAAAACAATAAAAATTACTATAACTACAATAAAAATTATAAATATAAATATACTAAAATATAATAATTAAAAATAAAAAATAAAATAATTATTATTTAGAGTTCACATAACTAATATAACATAAAATAATAAAATATATTATATATTTTATAAAAAAATTATATTAAAAATTTTAATCTTAATTTTTATTTTTTATTAAAATTGATTCGATTAAAAAATTTAACTAATTTAATTACTTAAACTAATAAACTGATATTTAAATTGTTTCGGTCCAATTTTTAAAACAAAACAAATTATTCTGAATCACTAAACATTTTTAGTTAAAAAACTAATTTATTTTTAAAATGTTAATTGTTAATGTTTCCGTACAACACTTGAAATGCATAAAAGTAGTTTTTTTTTTTAATTTAACTCTTCAATCACTTACCATAACTACTTACAATTAACTTATATCTACTATAAAGAATATATATATATATATATATATATATATATATATATATATTATAAATAAAAAATATATATAAATTGACATAATTGTTATGATGTTACTTTTAATAAAAATTGACAATAATTTCACAGAGGACACTTACATGAGCTATGTATATAAAAACTATGATCCAACTAAATATCACGTGCTATGTACATTATTGATTAGTTACTTCCTCTAATTATTTATCATTAATTGGTTCTCACATCAAGAGTATGATTCAATGCTCTCAAAAACCAGATTCAATAATAACAAAAATTCATTGTTTGGTAAAAGGAAGATGAACTGTTACAATGGAAGCACTCAAGATTAGTTGGAGACTGTCTTGTTAAAAACTATGGTTTCTAGTATAAAAAAAATATTGTAAAAATCAACTAAGCATATAAAAAATACAATGGTGCCAAAATTTCTGTTGCACAAGGATTTTGATGATTGACGATGATTCGGACTTTGAATATGATTGAGTAACATTTTGGTAATACAGATGAAAATATGAGGACTTAGAAGGTTTTGACCAACCAAAGAGTATGAAAATGGTATTTGGTCAATGTTATGTAAGAATTGTTGTGAATGAATGAATAAATACAAGGAGTTGCAATTGAGGGAGCCATGTATACCTAATCTTAGAAAGGTTGAAAGGTTCTTCAATTAACTTAAAACTAAGAGATTATGTTTGAGAAAAAGAAAATAGCATTTTACTATTTTGAGGGGTGACCATGATTATTGCTATGAAAATGAGGGTGGAATGAACATATACGCAATCTTAGTGCTTGGACTTACCTAATAAGATTGAATAATTTAGATCAATTTCATCACTTTACTTCTCATTCAAAATCTCTCTCTGCACATACACAGAAATAAATCTTCAAATTATTTTTTATTAATATTAATCAAATTAATTAAACAAAATATCCATTATAATAAATTACCAAAGATTATGAGTTAATTAGAAGTTACATATGATTCTTTTTAAAAAGTCTTACTTTCTTTTTTCTTTTTATTTAAATTTATAATTCTTATTTCTTCCTATAATACATTGTCCTAGATTTTTTATATATATATATATATATCACATGTGTGAATCACTATTTTAAAAATATCCCTTGATTTACCGTAATAACTATATTTTAATTAAATTAGGATAAAATTAATAAAGTCAGATGAATATTTTGTTAAACAGATTCAAATTTTTTAATATAATTTTTTTATAAAAGATATAATATATATATTTTAGTTTTCCTTTTTAATTAAATTAACTTTAAATATTAGTTATGTTATTATATTTTTATCTTATTTTAACAATTATTCATCTTATCATTTCTATTATATTTTATTTATAATCTTCTTTTCAATTTTTCAAAGAATCTTCCTTTCAAATCTTAAATTTTATTTTTTAAATATTTTTTTTATAAAGTTCAATATTCATAAAATTAATAAATATTATTTATTTTAATGTAACAATAAAAATAAAATAAAATAAAAACTATATATATAATATACAATCACATGTAAGAACGTACTCGTCCACCCCTATTTGATAGGTTCTCCATAATCTTGTAATATCTATTTCATTTAGAATTTTATCAATTATTTTTTATAAAAAAATAATTAAATTTTAGTAACTTTTTTACTCACAGATATTAAAATAAATATCTAAATAACTACATAACAATAATCTTTATTTTTTAATAATATTATTAATAAAATTATTTTTATTATATATTATAAAAAAATATTATTTTATTAAATCGTTAAACTTTTAAATTATGAATCCTCCAGATTTTAAAAATAGTAATATGAAGTAAAAGTAAATTATAATAAATATTTTATATATTTATACTTTATATTTTGTGCTGATATATTTATATTAAAATTTAATATATTGTAATCACATCATTATTAGAATAAAATAGATTTTCATATGTTATTATTAGTAAAATAGATTTTCATATGTTATTATTAGTAGAAAACTTTGGTATTGTTAACCAATTGTATTTTTTTCATTAGTTAAATTAGCAATATAGACTTAGTATATCAAATTATAAACGTAAAGTAGCATTATCGTTAATTTTCTTTTAATAGTTAAACAAGATTTTATTAAAAGTCATACACAGAAAAGTTTAACTTTTTTAAATAATTAACAACCCTAATAAATTTATACATATATACTTCTTTTAGTTATATACTTCATTGCAGTGATTTATGAATTCGTTAGGGCTTTGGTGGGTCCATGATGAACTACAGTGTAATTAATTAGCGTACAAGAGGAAGCAGACAAAGCAAAGTCTACGTTGTTTTATTATATATAAATAGTCGATGTTTTCAGAGGAGGTTTCTTCTCAATATGGGACATGAAAAGTGAGGTTGAAAGTTGCTGAGACGCTGCCACGTGGATACCTACTCTCGTTGGTAGTTTAGGTTTGTTGCTTCCCATGTTGGTGCAAAGGGTGGAGAAGGTGGCTATTGTTATACGTATGTGCCAGACTGTGCCTTGTTCTTGTTGGACAAGCCAAGATCAAGTTGAAAATCTGCGTGTCTCTCCTTACAATTTCATCCCTTTATTCCTTTATTTTCCTTTTTTCTGCATAAATCAGCAATGTGTCATGGAGTCAAAGTTCCCAGTTGACGTGGCTACTTTCCTACATGTAAAAAACATTTTTTGACACAAAATTTAAGTTAAGACAATCTAGAAAGAGAAAGAAGATAAAACAAGGAGAATAATAAGCTATTAATGCAGTTTGTTTTAGGCAAGGTGGAATTGTAAATGCATACCATATGTTTTTCTCCATTTTGAAAAAATAATAATAACTGATTCATATAATTATGAAACTACCCTTCTCAGTTAGATTGCTGATGCTAATTTTCTGGCTCTAAGATTGATGAAGAAACTAAACATGGGTTTTCAAAGGAAAAGCATTTCTGTAAAACTTTTGATTAAAAAATGAAGATTATGACTGTGGCTAATCATGTTTACGTCTACCCTTTGAAATTAAACATTATGGTTAGAAGCAATATTACTCTAAGGAGTGTCTTTCGATGCCCTTCAGGGTCGTTATCTTGACAAACTTGGAATTTTCTATTATAACATAGTAAACAAGTTTTGAAAGCATTGATATTCCAAACATGGCTATGCTATAAGTTCTATATATATATATATATATATAACAATAACCTCGCTGGTAAATAGCCAACTTCCAAGAATACCTTGTAATCTATATACCTTCATTCTCCACTTCATAAACACTCGATCCAAGGTTTGGATTCTTTTTCTCTCATTAAATAGTTTTCAAGAAAGAAGAAAATGAATTCTTATACTGTTTAATGCTAAACATTTTATGCAGTGTGAGTACGTGATGATGGGGAGAGCACCATGCAGCGATGAAAGTGGATTGAAGAAGGGACCTTGGACCCCAGAAGAGGATAATATATTGGTGGAATACATTCAGAGACATGGGCATGGGAGTTGGAGAGCACTTCCAAATCTTGCAGGATTGAACAGGTGTGGAAAAAGTTGCAGGCTAAGGTGGACAAACTATTTGAGGCCTGATATCAAAAGAGGAAAATTCTCTGAGGAAGAAGAGCAACTCATCATCAGTTTACATGCAGTTCTTGGGAATAAGTAATTACTGTTCATTCAATTTCATTAGTAAATGAAACATTTTCAATTAGGCTTGGTCCATGTAACCATGTTATGTTTATTTTTCATAATATACTATTAGATAAATTGATTTGTTTTCGTATGTGCATTACTTTCCATTATTAGGTGGTCTTCTATAGCAGGTCATCTGCCAGGTAGGACTGATAATGAAATCAAGAATTTCTGGAACACTCATTTAAAGAAAAAGCTTATGCAAATGGGGTTAGATCCAGTGACTCATCGTCCAAGATCGGATCACCTTGATCTTCTATCCATTCTTCAACAGTTGCTGGCTGCTACAAACATTGTCAGTAATTTCACAAACACTTGGGACATTAATGCTCTAAGGCTGCAATCAGATGCCACACAACTAGCCAAACTCCAATTGCTACAGAACATACTTCAAGTTCTTGTGGCAAGTCCTGCCTCAAACATGGACCTACTCAATCCTTTTGGACCATCATCTTCACTGCCAGATGGTTTCCTAACTGAAGTGTTGGGATTGGATCAGTCCAAGCTCCAAAACCTTTACAATGGTTTTCCTTCACAAAATCAGCCAATTTTCCAAAGCTTTGTTGAAGCCCCTCCTCAGCAGCAAGCTCTATCCACTGGGTATCACCTCATGAATGGAGGAAGCAACAGGAGTTGCATGAATTCTGAAAAGGTTGACAAACAACTTGATGCCCCATATTCAACACCATTAGATTCTCTTCCAGATCTAGCTTCTGCCTCACCTGAATGTTCCACTGGCAAGCAAATGGAAAACAAGGTCAACCCAAATGAGTTTTCTGACCCTTCTTCCACTTCAACCACCTTTGAAATGTGGGGAGATTTCATGTATGAGGATGTCAGCGATGCTTATTGGAAAGATCTGATAGAGTAAGTAACTTCTATGTCAAGATTATATTATTGCACTATTTTTCTAGCTCCACTTGTGCTTATTTTAATATACTGATTTTTTTAGTACCTGTTTTTGCAGTCAAGAGTGTAACCAGTAATAGCCAACAGCATTCAAGGCTTATTATCTCTGATAGGAATTATCATTGATCTCTTGGATCAAAACATGGTGTTCATTTAGAATAGTTGGTTGGTTCATATGAAATTTAAGATGAATTCAATCTTTATTTAAGCTTCCATTGTATTGTATAGACGAGTCATGCAACGTGGAGATCGTAATTTATTTTACACAATAATAATATCGTTCATATTATTAATTCATGCAGCAAATTCTTGAACAATATTATTTGTGATGAATGGTAGAGTCTGTATACTTTGAATGGCTGTGATTGATGTTAATGACGCAAGGCATCAACTTTTTTTTTTAAGTCGTCTATTTTTATGATTATATTAGATCATTCAGAGTATATATTGTTTTGTTACTTGTGTTTTCCAATATAAAAAGTTGAATACTTTATACGACAATTTAATATTAATTAAGGTTCTAAAAACAAGTATTTAACTCAATTTTGTAACTCTTGGTATGTTAATATTTAAAACATTTTATTTATTTAATTTTCTCATTTAAAATATATCTTTTCTTAAGAAATTATATATATATATATATATATATATATATATATATATATATATATATATATATAAACAATATCACGTTATTATCCAAATTGTGAATTTTGTTACACACATATTCACTTAATTTGAAATAACGTTTGTAAGTAAATTATACGTATTAGAAATAATTTGTAGTGCTGGGTCTTTCTTTTCAACTACATTTTTTACCAATTTATTTAATTTCAAAAACCAATTATAATATTGTTCAATACTTCTAATTGACCTATTAAATAATAATAATAAGAGAAAAAGATTTAAAAAGCGTATTTACTATTAATGAGATAAACGTGTCTTAAATTTGGAAAATAGAACAAATTTAAACTTGGTAAAAACTAACATAAACTAACTGATTTTTTCATCTTTAATGTGTTATCTTTTCACTTGAAATAAAAATGTTAGAATGAGAGTCAAAAGAAACGAATAAATAAAACAGTGGAGACTTTGAAGAATGGGCAAAAATTTGTTAAATGCTAATTAAATACGAATGTTAAGGAGACTAATAACACAAATAAAAACTGTAAAAATGACTCATTAGCATTGCAGCAGAAAGAAGTTTTTAAGCATAGATATAACTTAGTCAAAATATGTTATATACAAATTTAATCAAATTTTTTTAATATTTTTTTAAATTATATAAATAATTTTTAAATTGTATTCATTAATTATATTTATATGTTAAAATAATTAATTATAATTAATAATATAAATTTAATTAATTTTTATAATTTAAATTATAATATATTTATATATTTAAATAACATAATATAAAAAAATTATAATTTTTCTATATATAAATATTTTTTAAAAACGAATCAGCAAATTTATGTATGATAAGATTAAAAGTGAAGACAACAAAACAAAACGATTAAAACTACTATTCTATACCACTAATTTTGAGATTAATTAATACACTCAAACGATCTAAATATATTAAAGTCAAATTCAAGAAAAAGGATGTGGTTTTTTATCCGTTAGGTTTTGATGTAACAATGCATGTCAATTTTGTGGGGTTCGCTGTTCATCTATAAACTATTTCAATTCAATTATATCTTTAGAATATTTCAATTGTTTTAATTGTTCAATAGTTTTTTATAATTTGTATTCATTAATCAATCTCTAAACTTTTGCATGGTTAATTCATTATTACCTCGATGAGATAATAAGATAATTAACAAAAACAAGAAGTGGTGCTTATGCCAAACCATATAATATAATGACTTTGTTATTGTGTATAACTTTCAAATAAAATAAAAACAAATTTGATAAGATTAGTATAACTCTAAATATCATTTTTGTGTATGCAAGTTTATATAATTTTTATTTCATTAAAAAAAACTTCTCATTTGAATAAAATGAATGACTGCTATGATTATGTTATAATTAGCCCTTGGAAGATTTAATTTTAATTGAAAATAAATTATAAGAGTCTTCTTAAGTTGATCTAGTCTATATATTCCTATAGTTCAGGTAAAATTATAATTAAAAATTATTTAGATATATTTCATCTTACATGTTTCTTTTACACTTACTTTTTATGTGTGCTTTTTTTCTTAGACTAAAGTTGAGTTTGATAAATCAAAATATATTGTAACTAACAAAATAATTCTTACATTTATTTTATATTTATTCTATTGAATGAAAGTATGACATCCAGATATGATTCTTCATTGTGCTTTTATTTTCTTTTTAACAACTAATTTGGTTTAATATGATTCCTATTATTAAGACTTGTAAATATTATTTTAGTGTGTAAGAATATTTTAATTTTAATTTTTTTTATTAGAGAAGCGATATATCCATATTTTTTATTTTTTTTCATTTTATATATTTAGGTGAAATGTTGTCAAGTATAAGAGAAACGATATATGCATATTTTTTTATTTATTTAAATGATTTTTTTTTAAGAGTCACAATGAGTGGAAATAACAAATTCTATAAAAATAACTGTATTGATTAAATTAATTACAAGATTTTAGTTTTTTAAATGAAATATTAAGTTAAAGTTGAATCTACATTTAATGAAAAAACAACTGAAATAAAATAAGAAATGAAATATCAAACTTCCTTAACTTCATTTGAATTTGGGATGATGTAAAAATACAATCCAACTTGCCACTCCTGTCCTCAAATCTTAAATAGGAGGGCAAGGGACAAACAGAGATAGAGGAAGAAAGAGGGGTCTGCATAACATACAATTTGCCACTAACATGGAGAACCACAATCCAAAAGAAGTACTAAGAAAAATCCTAAACAATATTACAACCCTCGTGATCTCATAAAAATCCTATTCTGAGAAGCAAAAATCATAAAAACAAACATGTTCAAACAATTGAATGTTCAAGGTACCTCCCATACCATAGTTGAATAGTGTTTTATTTTTGGTTGGTTGCACCCTTTTTTTTTAGCAGGCTTCCAAACTTGCCAAGCAAAGGCTTCTTCTTCTTCTTCAATTGTTGTTTTGGTGGTGGAGGACTCCCACCACCCTCAACAATGTTCTCTGTTACTGCATTTCCATTTATCTTATCAAAACTCTCACCACCTTCTTCTAGCTTTGAGTCAACTTCCTCTTCAAATGATTCAGGTTCTGCTTCTCTCTCTGGAGAGAACTCCTTTTTCTCTATCTTACAGCTCTCCCACATTTTAAATTCAACTTCTACTGAATCATCCTTCTCTTTGTTCTCTTTGTTCTCTTTGCTCTCATCTTCCTTCAGTTTTTCACTCACTTCCTGAGGTTTGGGAGATGCAACATTTTCAGTCTTGTCAGTCGAAAGAATACTTTCTTCCTGTACATTTTGATTGAGCTCCTTCCTATTCATTGATAGCCCTACATTTGAAATGTCCTCTCTTACATGTCCATTCTCTTCAGAAAATTCAACTACTTTAGGAAGCAAATCGTAGTCCTTCTCACTGTCACTAAGATCTCCATTTTCCTCATTGTGGTTTCTGGTTGTAGCTTCTTCCAGCAACTTGGATAACTCCTCCACCTTCTTGATAGATTCAGATTCCCTGATTCGGAGTTCATCATTTTCTTGAAACATACTCTGCAACTCATTTTCTTTATCTAATAAATTCTCCTTCAATTTCATGTTCTCAGCTGTTGCTTCCTTAAGAGCTTCCTGCAGTTGAATTGCCTCAGCCTCAACTTCCTTCAGATTTTCCTTCAACTGAGCTTCTTCCTCCCTGTTGATATTAGCTTCTTCCTCAGTTTCTTTAAGCAAATAAAGCAATCTTTTTATTTCTTTTTCCAGGGATACCTTCTCTTCTTCATTTTTCTTTATGCAACTGACTAGATGAAGCTCTCTCTGCTCCCACTCAGCCTTGGAGTTCTCAAATACACTCTTAGAGTTTTCAATACTACATACAAGAACATCAATCTCATGTCGTGCCTCATTGAGCATCGATTCATATTTTTCATTAGTGGCTTTTAATACTAACTTCAAATCTTCAATCTGAGCCTCGTAGCTTTCCCGTTCAGCTTGAATGTTTAGTAGATTTTCCTTGGCTACTCTAGCTTCTGTAGATACTTCGTGTAATGCAGAAGCTAAGCTTTCCATTGCCTTTTTACTCTTTTCTTCTTCATCCCTAGAATTCTCCAATTCACTGATAATTTTGTTTTTCTCTTCTAATAAGGTCTGCACACTAGAAGCAGCAAGTTTTTCATCGTTCAAAGCTTGGGCTTTCTCTTCCTTGACCTTCTCAATTTCAGATTTCAGAGCTTCAATTTCCTTTGACTTCTCAAGACTTTCTTCCTTGGCTGTGCGAAGTTGGCGTTCTGAATCCTCAACTTCAGCTCTCTGTCTCCCAATTGTCATTTCTAATAATCCCACCTTCTCTTTAAGAGTATTAACTTCAGATTCTGCTTCATGCAACAAATCATTGCTTCCTTCTAGCTGTTTCATTACCGATTCCAAAGATTCTGATGCAGATCTCTCCAGTTTGTTTGCGTCTTCAATCCTCGTTTCCAGTTCCTCAACCTTCCTATGCCACTCCTCTAACAGGCTACGGGTATAAGATTCAGCCATTTTTGAAGCTTCAAGCTCCACATTAAGCTGTTCAATAAAAGTTTCTTTCTCGGACAACTTATCATTGTAACCCTTGGCTTTTTCAAGTTCTTCGTTGAGAGCTTCTATCTCTGTTTTCAGTTTCAATATAACCTGATTTTCACCAGCCTCTGTTTCCAGTTTTGCATCTAGTAAGGCCTTCAATCGCATTAATTCAGCTGATAAAAACTCTGCTTTCTCTGCATGAATCTCGGCAATTTTAGTTGCGTCATCAGCATGATTCAATGCCTGGTTCTTTGCATCACAAGTA